TACAGCTGCCATGGGGATGGAGGCTGTAAGGGACAGAGTCCGGGGTTCTGCTAGTGCAGTGCAGCAAGGACAGCCAGGCTTCGASGTAATTAGGGATAGGGACAGGAATATACGTTCTGAAGAGCTATTTTGAAGCTTAAATATTTCCCAGAGTCAACCAGCTTTTAATAACTTGCTTTTTYCCCCTCCTCATTGGTTAGTAAAGGGGATTCCACACCCCCACTTCCCAAAAAATACCAAAACAAAAAACCAGCACAMAAGAACACACCCCAGCCCTAAGCATCCTGCATGGTCCTTTTTAAGGCAGCCTGGCAACTTAAAGAGGAGCAAATAGACCTTCCTGATGGTTCATGCCTGCTCTGCTTGTGCAACACTGCGCTGTGTTCTCTGCGCTGTGAGGCAGGAAAACAATGGGAAGTAGTTCGTGGGGCAGATAAAACGGTCTACTGCCTTCCTCTGCTTAGCCACACGATGTTACACGGGAGTACTCCCACTGAGCAAGCAGGTGGTCCTACAGGACAAAACGATAGAGGCAAAGAGGCCACAGTTCCACGTGGTCCCAAATAAGCCATTTGGGGAAAAAAAAAGTTTGATCTGGATTGTTCAAATAGCTCTGACACAGGAAGGACTCATCTTTTGCTGCTCTGAGGCTGAAGTTTCTTGRCACTTGGCCATGCAGGTCTTCAGCTGCAGACTCCCTCCCATTGTCACTCATTCCAACCTTCAGCTATTGCAGCCACGTTTAAAAAAAAAGTGGAGTTATTAATGCTATATTTAGGGGACATAGGGAGAATTCACCATGAGACAAGCTTGCTGTTCTAATTTGCCACATGAGATGCAGAAGACTAATGGAGAAAAATGAGAAGCAGCAATGGGTTGATCAGACCAGTAAGGAGCATTGTTGATGCACATAAAACTTCAGCCAACTTTGATTCTCAAAACTCTCCRGCTGTCTTCTAAGGGCTATCAGTATCTCAGCTCATGTGTAACAACAGTTAAAATAATAAAATATGAATATATTAATATAAAAACAGATAAAATAATACCATTCAGCTCCCTGCCTAAGAGCTTAGAAAGAGACTAGTATGGTAGGAGAAATCATCACTAGACTGTTTTTCAGTCAACCTAAAAAGCGTTGCTTCTACTCCATTGCTTCTTCACATGCTTATCCTCACAAACCCTACCCTGCCCTTGGGTCTCTTCATTTATTCCCAGTATTCTCCCTAGGCATATACCTTCATTCTTACTCTCATGGTGCTGCTTCCAGACATTAATGTCTGGGAACACATAGCTAGGGTTCCCAAAGAACCTTAACTCTGCTCCAGAGGCAAAGATTTATGAAAAAACTCCTCTCTGTTTAATATAAGCTGGGACCACAAACAACGAAATGCCTCTATCGTAGTGCAACTGCAGAAATTCCAGCCTACAGTTAGCCAAACGTAACCCACTGAGTGCTGTGTTCTTTTATTTTCATATTTCTGATTAGGCAAACAACATAATGAAAGCCTCTCTCCCTATTCTTTTGTAAGACTGCATGACTCACCACTTATGCAAGCCTTATGCAGGAGTTGGTCATAGCTCCTCTGATGATTCTAAGTCCTGGTTTGCAATTAGTGCAAGGCTTCAATCTCCCTGTTCTGTACAATAAAAATAGGTTCTCTCAACTTACACGTTGTGAGCAGTGTGGCTTTGGGAGCCCAGGAAAAGCTGGGAAGCTGTAGGGAACTATGATAGATAGTTAATTTAAAATTTTAAGTGGATTCTCTAGAGTTCAGCATTGGCATTGCTTTCCCTTCTCTCTCAAATGACTGGATAAACAGCTTGTTGGGTCTGAAGAGTTCACAATCTGGCTTTCTGGTTTAGCTTATGGATAAGAATGGTGGTGCTTATTATATGGCCTGCCACATCATCGTTGATGCCACTGTGGTGTACACAGGATAGCAATATTGAAAAAGCGTGGTTATTGCAAGGTATCATCAGAGGACAGAGCAAACTTGGGAGCCTTCATTGTGCATTTCAGATTTCTGCAAGTTTGGACTGAAGGCCAAGYCCAATTCTGCCATTCAGAAGGGAAGAGCTCAGCTCAGAACACACCCACACTTCTCTCATTAGTGTCACATTAGCATGAACAGTGCGTGCCAGTGGGTAGAGCAGGCTGGAAGTTACTTCTTTCTCCACATGGCTCTGTGACACTTCCTTTGCTTTCTGCGCTGGTTCTGTAATTCCTAATTTAGTGACTCACAACAGATCTGTTCACGGAAAAGGTAAGATCACTTTCCTGCTCTGTGAATGAAACGATGATGCTTTGCAGTCTTCCCTGAGTTTTTCAGGCGGGGAGCAACAACACAAGGTGTTCCACTCACTTCCACAGAAGCTTAGGCCCTAGAGTGAAGGATGTCAGACTACTCTTTACTTTTAGTGATAGCAGAAGCAGCAAAACCAAGGCCACTAGAACAAGTTAAGAATTACTAAGGAAAACTTCCATCTTCTAAGTCTCAGCTGAAGGCACAGGTCTGTACCACATCAGCAATACTGTGTGAAGTAGGAGTGGTGACATCACCCCAGAGCCTAGAATAGCAATCCCGAGAGGGCTGGGTAGATGGAGAGAGCCACTGAGTTAGTAAGCATTTAGTATATTCAGCATTTAGCTTGACTGTTGGAACATGGAAATTATAAATGGCCCTAAGTAGCAGAGAGTGTTTTTACCATGTATCTAATATATAAATACCTCTCCCAGAGGGGATAAACTCCCAAGTGCAGACTCGCCAGCACATCCTGACTCCTAGACATGTGCCCTATGYAGGCCCTTCAAAAACTGGACTCTCAGCAATTTTCTATGAGTTTTGTGTAAATTAGAGTTGCTGAATTAATGATCTAGACAATAAAATGCCATATTATCCAYTTTTCCAACCAGGACTACTTTGTACTGTGCTATCATTTCCTGAAGGAATTTTCAAGGAYCTGACAGATGTATTGCTTCCCTCGAAAGACTATATCCATCAGATGGAGACTGTGCAGCAGGCATTATAGGGCTGCATCCAAAGTRACCTGGAGGTTTATAGCAGGAAATTCCAGACACCCCTGCTTCTAAAAGACCAAGCAGGTAGATTACTCCACAGTTTGAATCATCTCAGTGACTACGTTACCCCACACAAAACATGAAGAAAAATCAGRAAGGAATTCAGTAGTTTCTTAGCCCATACCTTGGAAAGAAGCCAAATTTGGATAAAGTTGCTATAGGATCTCTTCACATTTAAATTTTTCACCATCTTTATATATCATTTGAGATAGCCCATCCACCACCACCACAAGCATAATCCTTCCTTGCTGAATCACTGAGAGACAGCTGTTCCACTGATCAAACCTCTTCCAGAGAAGAAACTGCTTAAACTGTAATTACTAGATTTTACATAAGAATCACAGCAGCATGCAAAAAGAATCCAAGTCAGATATTATCCCATCAGTTTAATTATTCATCTACCCAGTTTCTTTTTAAAAATAAAATTWAGGAGAAAAAGAAAATAATCAAGTTCGTCCCTTCTGGCAGAGAATTGCATTAGTASAAGATAGTAAAATTTAGCCAACTTTAGCAATCTTGGAATCAAAAGCAAAGTTGATCTTAAGACTTGAGTACAACTGCCTATAGATGACTGTTGCCCAAAGCCAAAACTTTCAGATGTAAAAACCCACTACTTTAAAGCTTTACTTGGGAGGATGACATTTATTATGTGCCATAGACTCAATTCTCCACATTGCAGCTCTTTGAGAAGAGGCTGAGCCATAGACAGAAGCTAGGCATTTGAAAACACCATTTAAAATCACCATTTCTAATCAATCTATCCATTCAGCTTCTTACATTCCTTTTGTGGTGGGTCATCATAGTTCAGGAAAGTCAAAAATACTTCAGCTGATTTTTTTTTTCTCTATATCAGAATTTAGTTCTGTACCAGAGATATRTTTATTGGCTATAAATCTTCAGCAAATGGGTGAACACGAGAGTAATRGATATGATAATATAAAAGGAATAATATAAAAGAATATAAAGATAATACTATAAAAGGAGTATGGGATGGGGGGGGTCAAGGGAAAACATCCTAATAATAGGGTTTTACAAATATGGTTTGTAAACCAGAAGGAACTATGATGATGTTTTAACTTCTACTGTKAAAGTATCAATGCAGCACATTTTACCCACAGTGTACATTGTTCCCACAACTGCTTACAGAACAATCMAAGTTTCTGCTATTTACCTTTCTAGATTTTTATTCAACTGCATATGTCTGCTCAGCTGTGTGGTCACATCCCACAGTAGCATGGTGCTCAGCTTTCAGCATCTTTACAGGAAAGAAATTTTCAATAGTTCCCTGTGGTATGCTTTTTAAAATGTAAAGTTTATAATCACTGTTCCATGCTGACATGTCTTTCCTTAGTAGGATTYAGTGTTTTTTTCCCAGCTTGATTCCTAAATTAACATCTGTATTTTGATTTTTCTTTATCCCCTTTTTACTGAGGTAAGAAAACAAAGTATGAGAACATAAGCGTTCCACATGAATGATTTTTGGAATCATGCACAAATAAAGTAGCAACTATCAGCTACAGCATTGAGTACCTGGAAACTGAGACAGCTAAAATACAGGATTTGTTTGACTATGCAATATTGGTAGTCAGCAATTGCTTCAGAGTCTATGAAGATGTGAAAGGAATTCACTTTACACACATAAAGCTAAACAAACCAAAATCAGAAAATGCTTTATGGAATAAAAGTAGAATTATTCTGAAATAACTCTTCTACATTAAAAGGTATAGCAGCTATATTATATTTTAAAACTTTTACCTTTAAATTAGCCTGTAAACCTTTAATCACATATACTTTTGAGATCAACTACTTACAAATATTTTTTGAGTATCTTATTAATACTAATTAAGTCTTTAAACATTTTCAACAAACACGAGTACTGGAAGAAAGCTAGCTGTTAGGATGCATAATTTGAAATGGTATGAAAAATGGAAATATAATTAAAGAGGAATCATTTGGTCAGTGCACAGCATATCGGAGAAGATGCCTCCCTGCCCACTCTCCCCAGTGCCCAATGACTTCTAGAACACACTTCTGTTTTCCTTTTTTTAATAAGTCCATAAAAGCCAAGGATTTATAAAAAGTACATGCAAATCTATTTACATTAACAGATCGAGAAGCTGCAAACTCTCCTTAGTATACAGGAACCATGTCTTTAAAACTAGGAGCAGAAATAAAACAGGACACCAAAACTAACTCGTAAGTTGAAACAGCAGCTCTGCTCACTGCTGAATTCCTGGTTTGTTCCTAGGATAAATAGAGATGCATGAGGACATGACACCCAAACCAAGTCAAATTCCCTGTAGCTTTGAAGAAGACAGCAAAATTGGCTTGTTTTTACTCTTTTTCTGATCCATTTCAAGTCATGTCAACAGCAATTGTAGCCCAAGTTCCTTGTTTAATCTTTCTCTTGAAAGAAGGAATGTAAATGAATATAACTGGGATCAGAAAAAGAGATGTTAGGGGAAGTCCCATCTTAAAAATGCTTTTAGGAAAATGAAACATTCTTGGATTGTCTGCCCTGTCCAATTCCAGTTTCTGAAAAGCCAACTGACCAGTTATTGATACAGTGAAGCACCACTTCTTGCAAATCTCCACAGCTCCTTATCACTGAGTAAAAACAAGAGGAAAAACCATTGGCAGTCTCTTAAAGGTTTTTTTTTTTTTTTACCAAAAGAAGCAAGTTTGTATTCTTGCTTCACCATTTGTCTTTCAATATTTGTCCTTCCACTTAAAAGATAATTTCACAGTGAACAAAAAAGCTAAAAGTAGCTCAGCTTTCCACAGCTTAAGGATAGAAAGGACAGTGGGCACATTTAACTACCCCTAGTTTAAGACATACCATAATTTGATGTTGCTGCAACAATGTGGTTTTCTTCTCAAAATCTGTCCACATTTTCCATCTTAAAATTTTCTAGTGTAGAACACAAGTACCTTGAAGACAGACCCCATGTCATACTTGGATTTGCTACAAATAACTGGTATTAGAACTTACTCAACTGTCAAGTTTTAATTTTTCCCTATCTATAGATGATGTATGATGTGTAACTTCTATGTATGCTCCAACTATGCCCAAAAGTGGTTATGGTTAGTAAAATACAGTGACACCCTTCCCGCTCTGACCAGCTAACACTCCAGTCTATRTCAAGGTATAAAATTTTAAGTGCTAGGAGGTAACTGGAAAGTTTTGGACATAAATAACAGTGAAATACATCAACATTTAATGAGATTTCAAGTCCACAACCTGTGAAAAACAGTTACTGTCACCTCAGTGTTAAGAAATACTGCAGCAAGCACCTGCCAGTGGTGTACGGGACTGTAACTGGATTGCTGATTATACTGCTATTGGGTGTTCTGGAATTTAGTAAGTTTTCCATAATTATCAATTGTCACTTAACTCAATATCCTGCCGTGCTTTCCATTTTTTGTGATTAAACCTCCATGGCAGTAGATTATTTCCCAAGTTATTTAAACATTAAAACAAAATTCTCACCMCTGATAAAAGTTTCATTACATGATTCTGATGCACTTGTCAACACAAGTGAATCTTTCATGGTGACTACTGTCATCTCCCCCCTCCATTTTTTTTTTTGATGGCACACTGTGTGCCCTATGACCATTCAAGTAACAAACTGGAAATCAAGGAAATAGTTTTCTGAAATTTCACAGAAATCAAAATCTTACAACCCATGGCAACATCCATGGTTCTTATTGTAATAAAGGGTCAGTATACATGCTYCATCCCATTTATATTAAGATTTCTTTTGAAGAAAAGGTGCTGATATTTTGTATTGTTTCATCTATGAGGTAGATGGCACTTTTAKATAAATAGTGTAAATGAGAAATTAAGTTAGCTTTAAGTCTGCAACAAGTCCTGCACCACTGACTGTTCAAGGCATTAATTAATTCAGGAATACAAAACACTTCAAAATAAGTCAAGCAGTGTTCCTCGTTTGAGAGGAAAATGGTGGTCAAGTGGAAAGAGAAGTGCCTTCACTGATGAAAGGTCATCGGAATTCTGACTTTAGCCTCCAGACTCCTTCCCCGCTGGGACTCCTGTGGAAGGTGCAGATGTTGCGGAGCAGTTCTCTGAAGACACAGGAGTGCTCTGCAGGCAGTTTGGACTCAAACTCCTGCAGCAGCTCCTGAGTGCTGGCCTCGCCGTCCACACGTGCCTGGAACGCCAGGAAGTTCCGCAGATCCACCAGCAGTTCATCGTATTCTGTGGAACCCTGGACTGGGACAGGTGCTGGCTGATGATTCTCATCACCTTCATTCCTTGTYGCTTGTGGTAAAACAAGGTGGTTTCTTGCCCTCATACGAGCTAATAAAGATGAMGAGTCCAGAGCACTGGATGATGATTCTCCAGATTTTCCATTGAAGTGCTCACTGGAACTACACTTCTTTACATTTTGTTTCTTTATCGTATCTGCATCCTGCAAATAAACATAAAGACTATGGAGAAAGTTGCATTTTGAGACCCACAGAATCCATTAAAAAATCTGCCTGTTGTTTAGACTTAAATAATGAACATGACCACTCAGAACTTAGTCATCTGAAATATACAATAAAGAGGTGATGTATTCTGGTCTCAAAATCAGAACTTGGGAAGTAAAAGAAAAGCATTGATGGTTTTCAGACAGACACCCAGACCATGGTGCAATTTGTGACTGCTTTATCTAATCACACTTCATCTAAACAAAAAGTCAAATTCACAGGTAACTCAAAATTCTAGAATTCTACRTAATACTACAAATGTGCATGAGACATCTATAGTGTAAATCAGATTTATTACATAAATCATAACACTTCACATGCACTAGCTATTAAAACAGAAATGTTAGCTTGTGTTTCTTACCTTGTGCTTCTTTGCTGGTGATGCAGAAGTGGAAAGTGAAGAAAGCAGCATGGAGTTTCTTTTTTGGCCAAACCGACTCCTAAAAACCCATGGAAGAATTAACTCCATAAAACATCCTTCTCAAAATGACTAGGGTAGTTTTTCCAGAGACAGACTGGGTTTGTGTTTTAGGGYTCTCAAGAGCCCTCTGCTAAGCTCTCTCTGCTACTGTGCAACAATAACGCTTTCTTTGTACTTCAGAATGGACAACCTAGGCTTGTAAAATGCTTTCATGTCTGTATTAAATATAAAACATGAACATGACTTTGATACATGCAAATACCAAGGCAAAAAATGGAAAGCCTTAACATTCTAGGCAACTTCTCTGTTTTTGGGAAAGCAGAGTGAGAACTGAACTTACTTTATTCCTGATGGTGCACCTGAAAGACCACTCRTGCCTGTCCAGGTTGGCACACCAGAAGCAGCTCCTAAACACTGCTGACGAGAGAGTCTTAAGGCTCTCAAGGCATCCTGGGCCACTCTGCTTGCTTCTGCTTCCTCCAGCACATGATCTGCATTGGAAGCATCCATAATGGCATCATGCTTCATAACACTGTGTACCCCTAAAAACCAGAAGATACAAAAGGTGAAGGAGGACATCTCTTAATTTATGTGAAAATCAAATACTCACTTTTTAAGTGAATGCCACAATTGCATTTTTCCTTCTTCAGGGTAATTATATTAAGCACRTCAGTACAGTAATTTCTAATGAGAGAACCCCTTTCTATATCAGTTAAGCAATCAATCTGAYAGCAAATCACTTCTGGTGTGCTGATGAGGTCATTATTCACAACAGAACTGGCAATTATGTGGGTAAATTGATCATTTCCATTGCTATGGACAGGACAGACAGAAGTGAAACCCTTGTATAAATGAAGGTTGATTACATCMTGGAAATATCCARGAGAAACACTGCATTACTTCTATATTCAGAAGTGCAGATCTCTCTGAAAGGTTTGTGCCAAGRAAATTAGCAAATTTATAACCAGAGMATTTAAACAATGAACATTTTAAGGTTTCACTACAGTAACAGAACAGACATGTTTTGTATTGTAGCTCTAACCATCAGAGTAACATATCTGCTCTTTTTCTCATTTGCATACGTTTTATATACCTCTGTTTAGTCRGCAGCCAAACAACTGTTACCTGATTTTTTGAATAGTTTCTGCAAGACATAGTCATCATTTTTCTTTGAGTCTTGCTCCTCTTCACCGTTGTCCTTTCTGTATTGCTTTTGTTTCACTAGATGAGGAATGCGCTTTCCTTCAAATTTGGCATCTTTGTGATGTTTCTTCTTAGACTTGTCTTTGTGGCTCTCATGTGACAGCATATCCCCCCTGTGCTTTGTTTTTGAGATACACTTATAATGATTATTATCAAATTGCCCATCTTCAGTTTTAGCACCCTGCTTTTCCCAAGAGCCAGCTGCATCACAGGTAAGGCTAAGATCAGTCCTTGCATCTGCATTAGCTGCTCCATGTCCTTCACCAGCCACCACCGCAGTCAGACATCTGGCATTCTCTGAAGCCCCTGCACTGCATGGCATYGACTGGGACATGCATTTGTCATCACTTTCCAAGCATTCTGCCTTGCTTTTATGGAATGGATTTGTATCAGTAGCAGCTTGTGCATTATCTTTTGCATAGCTGTTTTGTTCAAAGGCTTCAGAATTTCCTTTGGTTTCTTCACTTGTGTCTATTGCTTTAGAAGAAGAATCTTTTATGTCTGTGGTGGAGTAGGAATTGAAGGACTTATTCTTCTTRTGTGAGCTGCTTTCTGCAAGATGGAGGTCACGTTTAGAAGTGCCATTATCAGGTGGCTTTGGGACCTGAACATCTGAACCAGTACCTGAGGGATGAATTAAATTAGTAAYCATTTAACAAAATTTTAAGACATTTCTTTTTTCCAAACAAATAGAAAAAAAMCCCACATACCTGCAAAAATTGCACTTGTTTCTGTCCCCTGAGACACATCTGGGCTGTTCAGAGTAAATAGTTCATAAAGGTCATTGGATTTGAAGAAGCGATTCTGCTTAGGGTCTTTCAGCACTCTGTTTGTTAAAAATTGTTTGAAGATTTGTCTAAAAAAGAAAAAAAAAGTACTTTGTGCATGAAACAATGTCTAGCTATGTTTAAGTACTGAGTACAGTACTTAAACAGAAACTATAAGCACTAACATTACCCTACAGAACAATTAAACAGTGGGAAGAYGATGTTATATTCCAAAAGACCTTCTTGAGTTAGTAACTTTCAAACAACCAAGTGAGTTGTTAAACACAGGGATTTATTATTTTGCAACAACCCCATAACACAACAGGTAACCAGCATCCTGAGATGTCCTATGAGGCATCCCTTAACTAAGCAATAAATAACTTCACAGCTAGAATTTTTTTGTCCATTAAAATTGAAAAGCTTGCATATGTTACAACAAAACAATCAGAAAGCTCACGAAAGAAAAACRAAAGCTTGTTAAAATGACAACATTTTATGGGTTCAATTGACTGGAGGAATCAAAAGCAGCAGAGTAACAGTCTGACRGTGATGACTGGATGATAGCCACTGAAAAGGGATATCAGACTTGAGGTCAGGAAGATAAGAGCCCACCTGCAGAGGACCAAAACGAACWAATCTGTASRAGAACTAAGCTGCAAAATGTCTTCYAATATTGGTAAAACTGCTTCTGTGCCATGTTTGTACTATATAGTGCCTAGAGCAAAAGCTGTTCTRTTCTGTACAAAAAAATACATCCCTAAATAAAACTGAAAATCTATTCTCTCAAACTCTATCATACTTTTGGCTCTGACATTAAGCAGGGAAACTGTTTTTAAATCCAATGGTCAAAAACTAAGTGTCTATATGCAGGCAAGGAAATACAGGAAAGGAGAAAAGACAGCTGCCTAAAGTTCAAGGTCCATTAAAGTGTGCTGGAAAGAAATGAATTTCTGCTGGTTGTCCTGACTGTTAAGAGTCCAATTCCTTGATGCAGTCAGTGTTGTTCAAACAGAAGTGAGCCAGAAGGACGGAAGCCAAATAACAGCGGATGCTTTGCGTCCGTGTGGCAAAACAGACTAAAAAAGGGCATTCAATAAGGGTGGGCATTTCATTATTTAGAGCTCTTTGTTCATCTGAATTTTCCAAGAGGGTATTTCAGTTCTGAAGAAAAAAGCCTACACAGAGGATTCTCATGTACATTCATTTGGTATTCATGTGAGTGAAGCTAACTACTGAGAAAGCTGAATGGGAAAGCAAATCAARAACATTTCATTGATTTTGAAACACACACACTTTAAAGGCTTTAGCTACATTTTGGAACAAATAACGTGAATATGACTGGTAGTTATTGGGATTTAATTATTTCACTTTGGAATGATTTGGGAATAAAATCAAATGGGGTTTTCACAGCAGTAAACAGATGTATGTACCACATACATCTTCATATATCCCAAGGAGAATATAAAGAACTTGATGATTTGAATTTGCATTTCAGACTTGTTGAGTCTCATGTTCTGAGTAAGGTGCTCACTGTTTTCTGTCTATGCCTCATACYCTCTTTTACAGGGAATTCTGGACATGCTGGACACAGCTGCTGGAATAGACTGGCAAGGTATATTTAGCACATGGATCTTTTAGCTAGAGATGGAGCAGCACAGTTGGGAGTCTAGTACAAGAAAAAGGTTCTCTATTTCTCAGGAGAAACTTTTAGATGTTTTCCAAGATGTGCCCATCATGACCAGGGTTGGGGATTACAAGTAATGTGTGCACATGCACAGGTATGTCACTGTTACAACATCTGGGATTTGCTACAAACATTTTCCTGAGCACGCAGCTGTATCCAAGGAATCATTCTGACTGACCTGTGGTATATCTTCTCCTCAATAGTCCCTGCAGTGAGAAGCCTGTACACAGTCACCTCTTTCTTTTGGCCTATTCTCCAAGCACGCTCCCGAGCCTGGAACACAAAAGGTTTGGTTACCAGACATGAGCCTCTCAAACGTGTSTGACAGAGAGTAATGATAACACTGTTTCAAACTTAGTTTGGACATTTAGCACATACTTCAAGAAACAGTATTTCCAGAGCATTAGGATAACTAACTCAGCAGGAGAGGAAAAAGATTTAGAAAGTCTGCAATTGTGCCAAGAATCTATGCAAAAATTACCAATAAAGGAATTATGTTAAAATTGGAACTGATCTCTAGAATATGTACTTTAGACAGACTTATTCCAGAAGGAAATTTCACAATAGGGTTTTAATACACACCTTTCCTTTAAACTTTTCTTCTTTAAACTAACTGAAACCTTTCCTGCAAGCATCTTGAACCAACCACTAATGCAGACCACTCTGTCAGACACGTGCAGATCTCAGAGCTGCACAGAATTTCTATAAAAAAGCTTTTTCCTCTCATACTTGTAAGCACCACATAACTGCTACGTGATCTGATAAACCAGAGTCTTATCACACCATGAGATATTGAACAATTTCTAAAAGCTTAGAGCAGCTCTCTAAGATCATAGCTACATAGCATTATCTAGTGAGAAAGYCAATTTGAGCAGCATCTGTTCTTCTTTTCTCACCCTGCACTGTCACCATGAACAGTCCTGCCTATTGAAGAGCTYGCACAGCTGCAGAATCCTTTCAGAAACATCTGGTTTATTTTGAAAATGCATGGGCATTTGAACTGTTTGTTTGACTGTACTGTAACTGAGTACGTGAATCAACATGGAGAGTGGTAATGTATAACAGCATAAAGGGGATGTGGTRAATTTGCTTTGCCACAGAAGCAATCATAATGTGGAGCTGCACCCTAAGTGACCATTGCTGGGAACAGCAACTTAGGAAAGAGCAACATAGTGCTATAACACTATTTGAGGGGATAAATGTYATTTCATCTTCAGTTTTATTTCAACTTAGCTGGTAAATGGAATGTAATAAACCAAACTCACCTGTGTGTCTACACTGGGATTCCAGTCAGGATCATAAATAATAACCCGGTCAGCACCAACCAAGTTAACTCCAATGCCACCAACACGTGTTGTTAGAAGAAAAAGAAATATGGATTTGTCCTGTAACACAACAGAGAATTTACTGAAGCAAGAATTTACAAATCCCAACATTAAAAAAAAAATATTTCCTGGATTATTTTATCAGCATTATTTGCAAAGATGCAAACGGAGCCAAGAGAAGGAATAYGTTTCCTTGTTCGTGTAGTACTTCTTTTGACAAATAAAAGTAGCCTGACCTAAGTTTCATTTACTGTTATCCCACATAATTTCTTTTCCTCTATTCCTCAACTGTTTCTTTTCTTAGCAGAAAACCCAGCTTAAGTGTGAAAAAAGGGATGTTTTCCCTCTCTCACAATGACAGGGGTTTCATTTCACTGAATGCCCCAGTTTTGTGTCTCAAACCCGAAGCAGTATATTTAAAAACACAGCRAAAAGGAAGATCTCAACCACACATAAATATGTATTCATGTGTGGGATGCAATATCTCACCTCATTGTATTTTGTTACAAGAGGCTGTCTGGAAGCTACTGCTGTGGTGCCATCCATCCTGAGATAGGAATAGTTTCTGTATCTCACGAAGACTTCAAGTATCTGCATCATCTGTGGTGATGGAAAACATTTAATGAAATCCAGATGTTTGTAATTTCAGTAACTTTTTCAATAAGATGTTAATTTTATGAGAAGGRTGCTACAAAAGGTGGTTCTAGTTACAAGTTCTTTTGGAACCCCCACACACGTTTTAGTAATATCTAAAACTAAAAAAAAATTAGCTCATCTTACCTGTCTTGACTGAGTGAAAAACAACACTCTGTGACCTTGCTTGTGCCATATTTTTAGCAGGGATTCTACCACTATCATTTTTCCAGAACGTTTCCAATATCCAAACTGATTTGGATCCTCTGCTTCATCATCTGGCACACTCTTCAAAATTCTGGGACTTTCAGCAACGAAGTCAGGGTGGTTGCAAATCTTTCTCAAAGTTGACAGTCCTAAGAGAATCTAAGGAATACAAGAGAAAAATATTTTTATTTTCATGACAAATACTTGTGGCTGTGGACAAGAAAAACAAACAGCAATAGATTAATCCAGTCMCCATCAATGTTTGTTTTTAATAGTATTTTTATGCTAATACTTGTTTCATGGCAAATTTTAGGAAAAATCAGTACAAGAGAAAGTGACTGAAATTTTATGCACTTGTGAGCCTATTCTGGKGATAATGTTAAGAGAATTCTGCAACAATTTCCACATTAGTAAAACCAGTCCCTCCCTAGCTGTAAGGTCAAATATTTCCAATTCAAAAGGAAAAATTCCTCCACTTTGTTTCTTGAAATTATCCTGTCCTCCCTTCCAACTCCTGCCATATTAGCAGGTAACTTAAGACAGACCTTGAGAAWAGTTATATATCCACCAGAATGCATGGTAACAAAGAATAAATGAGTAAACATATTTGAACAAACATACAAAACTGAAATTGCCACTTTTGATGCTATGTTAGAAGGGYTCTGTTCAGTCATTCCACAAGTGTTATTTATTCTTCTGATATAACAGGCACTCATAAAAATGAACTAGCATGGAACTGTGAATCTCTCAATCTTCTAGCACTACAAGTTGGATGAACCTACCCATAATTTATGGTTTGTCTGTACAATGCTGGCTTTCAGCTGGGATTTGGTGCTGTCATCACAGAATAGCTAATAAAAGCATTGACATTTACTGTTCAAAATTTTCAGATCCCTAGTAAATAAGACAGCCCCTTCTGTAACATCTTTGAGAAATTTCTGCAGATAGTCTTGTACAAGCCCTCTCTAGAAGAACAAGCTCCCTAAAGTAATTTTCACTGGGATAACAAAAACGGCTATGCATTTGAAAAAACTTGCCCACTATACCTTTGTGAGATCTGTAAAATTAAAAAAAGTCAAAACAGTAATAAGGTCAACATGTTCTTTGTATGGGACTGCAATATATATGGCTGTACTGACCATACAACTGATTGGAGCCACTGGGTTTGCAGGGAGAATGGATTTCACAGTTCACAAGACAAGAAATGTGGTGAATTACACATTATAGCCAAGACATATTACTCTCTTCTTGTAAACAAGAGACTTGTATCCTGCAGATAAAATGGAGGCGAGAAACATCCACTGCATGCATAAAATGTCAAACSAACCAGATGTGTGCAATGCAGGAGTCTCAGGGAAGAGCAGAGATTCTACACAGGCAGCAGCCAGCAAGTGAAACTCTACCCCAGCTACTCCTTTCACTTGGCCACAGMAATTTCAATGCTATGAGGGTGGAGGCAGAAGATGTTGAGAAATGTCTAGTAAAACAGTAACAAGCATGTTTGCTATTTGCTCTGCTTTCTGTTAACACTGTGAAATCATCAACTTTTGCATAACAAAGTTATCACACCTGAACTGTACTCTCTGAACTAACTACACCTTTACTTTACTTCACTTCTGCCAATTAGTTAAAAGCATGCATACAGTTACCCACAACAGGTCATCCAACAAGCCATAATTCATCCCCAAGATCACAAACATATTGTGAAGCCCATTCCATTCCTACTTTTATCTGGTCATGTCACTACATATGGATCACTAACTTTATATATTTAATCATAATTAATCTAACATTTCCGAGGGAAAAAAGTAGACAACTATAAAAGCTGAACAGAGACCAGTGTTTGCTTCGCTTTCTGCTCAGAATCCAGCTAGAAGAATGCAAAAGCCAGTCCATGGCTTTACCCATCAAATACCTGTCATTATCCCTAATTAATGCCCACCTGCATGTCTCCATTGAGAATCTGGTAAACTTCTTTAGAGTTGATGTAGTTTTGATAGATTTGACGCTGCTCCTCTGTCAAGCGGCAAAAGAGGACCTACAAAACAAACCAACCACTCAAGCCCAACCTATGTGGATTTAAAAATTTTACAATGTGCTACAATGAAACTTCACAGATGTCTGACATACTGCATAGAAATAATTAGAAATAATTTAAAAAATGCAGAGAATGAGCATAATCATTAAGATGAATTTCAGGAAGTTTTATATGCTCTTTCCCAGTAATTATAATTTTCCCTCAAATTGCTTTAGTTTTGTAAGTGCTGCCATTTTCTAGTTTTAAAGAGGTAACTGTGAAACATTAGCATTCTCTCAAAGCTATGTTTCTAGGAAACCCTTTCTCCATTGTGTGTCTATCATGTCCCTTACAACTTGCAAATTCTTAGTATGCCATGGGAACTCAATCTGTCCTGTCATCAGACTTTGAACAAGAAATRTATTGATTTCTCAGGTGCTCTGATGGGCTAAAATGGAACAAAATCACTTCCTTGCATTCTGCAAGGTACCCAACATTATGCTCTAGATCAATCTCATGCAGTGCCCTGTGACTGAAARGAGCAAAAATCAAATTTGTCTAAACTGCCTATGATCACATTCATTCGATTAAGTAACTCAGAATCTTTAAAGCATACAGAAATTAAAAAATTGGTTCAAAAAGATCATTAGACTCCACATAYGCAGTATAACCTAATCCTTTATTATGTACTTTTCAGCACTGTCTTACAGAGACTGACACATCTACTTCTCTTTTAGAGGGAGAAGACAGGAAAGGACTGAGGACAGAATATGAAAGCCTGAAGCACTGAAAACTGAAGAAGCTAATAATTACTAAAAGTGAGTGCTTGTAGGAATTTCAGTTAACTAATACTTTCAACCTCCTCTACTTTAAATGAAAATGTTTCCTAAAGAAACATACCACCTTGTAGTAAAGCAATCCAGTTTGACACCACAAGGCTAATATTTTGCAAATTTATTAGAACATACAGGCCAGCTAGCCTGCAATATTAACAACTACCACCAAGTATTTCTCTACTATTTACTGGCCAAATTAATCTTTCTACAACAGGAAACAATGCTAAATTGTTTCCTGCTGTAAAAAAGGAAACAGATAGACAACTCATTTCAATGCACTTGAGACCTAAGGGGACAGTATTAAGTAGCCCTGACTACACTCCATCCATAATTTGCTTTTTAGATAAGTGAATTCATATAGACCCTGCAAGACAGTGATCATTTAATACTCAGAACACTGGTGAAAGAATATAAATCTTGAAAGCTCTGCACCTTATCTTTAGTTAAACCAGCATTTTATCTGCTACTAGCATGAATTATTTCCGAAAGACTGCAGTTTGGGGAGGGAGAGGACTCAGATCTAGTAGTGAAAATAAGCAAACCTGTTCATTTTTGTCWGGCAGTGAAAGGCTCATTTTTACATCAGCCTTCATTCTTCGCAGCAAGTAGGGGTTTATGGTGTCCCGTAACACACAGGCACATTTGTATGCAGTTTTTACCTGAAAAAAGGAAGAAAAGGCCTAAGTTGTATTTTGATTCTTGGTGTTAATTTTAGCAACTAGCAAAATTACATCATTAGCAGTAGGAAAATTCTAATCAAAKTAGATGGCTTATTTTACATGGATCTACAGTTCCATGTTCAACACACGAATTGCAATAAAATTCATTTCAGCAAAAATAAAATTGAATAAATCTTCCTCAGATACCACAGATTTGTCTTTTGAAGAGACCAGAAGCAGGATACTTAATTTAAAACCAAAGAAAGAATTGAGTATAAATGTGTACRAAAGCAAAATCCTCATGAAAAAGTGCTCATACAAATACTGAAGATCAAAAAAGAAGCCTGCAGCAATGGTAGCTACCAGACAGTAAGTGAAGATTAGTGCTCACTTGAGACTTTAAAAAAAAATCGGTACAAGAAAATCCCCATGATCACAGAAACTAAAGGTCACTCCAGCCCTAAATGGAGCATATGGTTCTCTAAAGGGTAATGGATGTGTGAGATAGGTATTAACWGTACATAATGGCTAAAAATACCTTAATTTGTCTTAAAGCAGGCAAACAATGTAGTACATTATTGGTATATAAAAAACAATTGAATGGCCGCTTAGTAAATTACTAATACTTAGACAAGTACTTAAACTTGAAAAGAAAATAAAACTTTGGAAATGCATGCATGCAAAGCATTACAAAGAGTAGTTAAAAGGATACAAGTTTATTAGCATTTATACGAAACTTAGSTGCAGATTATAATGCAGACAATTTATTTACCATCTAATTCGAAAAATCAGAACCACAACTACAAAGATTAATGGGCACTTTTTCAAAATAATCTCCCAAATAATTTTTTGCTTTCAAAATTAGTTTATCTACTTCCAGACTTCCAAAACCCAATGTAGCTTTTAAAAATAAAAATYGTTTTCAGTTTGGATTTAAGGATTTCTCATACTGTGTAATTTGCCAAAGCTTGATAACAAACAGGAAAGTTCTATTTAAACGCATCAAAAGATGGGATCAGTCACCCCCCACTCCAATTTATCTTTACTTCATATCAAAGAATACTACCAATGACTAAAACTTTAAGGCTTTTGACAAGAAAACCTTGTTTATGAGCTGTACTCCTGTATAAATGAAAATGGCCTAATTTAGTTAAATATTTTTTTATACAACCAGGACTAAAACACACACACACACACACATACAACTCTTTTCTGGGTTAGTGTCTAGAACATACAGCATTAAGCACATTTAGAAATCAATTTAGAAACAACAATAACAGTTGGAACAGTTTCCTTCAAAGTGCTATTTTGGATGCATTTACCTGGACAGGAGAGGCATTGCAATATCCTCCCATGGTTATTGGGACAGAAAACTGCTCCATGAAGACAGGTAGTGTTCCCAACTTTCCTGGGAATATAAAGTCAAAGAGGGACCAGAGCTCCTTTAGATTATTTTGCATAGGGGAGCCAGACAAGATGATTCGATGGGGTGTGCGGAACTATTAATAAAAACCACAAAACCAAAAGAAAGTTATTTTCATGGTTCATGGTGTATCCTGCCTCCTGCTCAGAGGACATTTAATTTCACCATCAATAAATTCTCATGTCAAAATATGTGGTCTCATACTCATAAAAAAAMCAGCTTTCTACAATACACTGTCCATAAACGGTTAGCAGAAAATTCACACCAGCAATCTGACATTTATCCCATGGTAAATTCCTATGCAATTTAAGATTTCTCTTTTTTCCYCTCTACCATACTTCTATAAATTTACCCTTGTAAATTCATTAAAAATGTTAAGTAAGTTAAATAGTCAAATACAGACCATTGTGATTTATACTTTTATTCTTTAATAATGATCAAACATTTATTTTTATGATAGGCTATTAGATTTCRAAACCTCCCTCCTTAAAGGAGCACTTAAATTTATTTTTTATAAAGTACCTGCTTGCATGCAAGTGTGACTGCAGCATTTGGATTTCGGATTTTGTGACCCTCATCCAGAATGACATAATGCCAATCATACGTGTGGATGTTGTCCTGCATCAGTCGAATGTACGAGTAAGAGGTAACTAAAATTCCATGGCATGAAGCAATTTCATGAATTAGTTTCACCTAAAAGCAAAAGGTGCACATTGTGACACAGAATTCTCAGACCTACTGAAGTACACATACAGAGATTTGCTATCCAAGGTACATATAAAAAGTTTTATAAAAGGAGATCTATAATTTACTCTGCAAAGAAAATAMGTATAGGCACGATTTTGATTATATGATTCTTAGCTCATCTGTAAAAGAATGAAGCACTTGASTACTGTGTTATAGCAAATCAGAATTTGACCAAAAGCCTGGTCAGAAAGGAACAGTGGGTTTTTATTTTAAATTTTTTAGAGGCAATGTCTGAAAAAAACAAATATTTGATTTAATTAAGGTAACTGGTTTCTTCAAGTTCTCCTATATTTACTTCACAAACCCAGCTCTGTGTACTGCAAGCAAGATGAAGAATGTTAGGGGAAAATAAACAAGTGAAATATTGAAAAAAATACAAAAATCTATTTGGTTAATCTGAAATTCTGTCTAATCTTTCTAATTAGTAGATTAATATAGCTGCTCTAAGTCTTCAAATTTTGTGGTTCTCTTGTAAGGTTTAACATTTCCCCAAGTTTTAGTAGCCTTTATAGCTGCAAGTTATGTAGGGCAGGGACAGTCTGTATCACTTTGCACAGTGTTCAGGACTCATCTTTATTGCATTTATCCTCCACATATAAATAGAGAAAACTTAAACAGAAAATGATGTGGGAAAAAACAGAAAGTAGAACCACTATCAAATTTGCTAAAGGAGGGACAAACTCCTTATTACCTCTTATTACGTATTACTAGAACCCCTTTAAGATAAAACAGCTCAAAAACCAAAGGGAAAAAGCCATGCCAAAAACTCAGATGATGTCAATATCCATGCTCTTTTACTAYAAAACTACTTTCTTACACATACCCCAGGATTCAGACTCTTCTGCTCAAGAAATTTCTGCTTTCTGATTATCATCTCCTGATAAAACCACAACACATTATTTAATGTTTACATCATGATTCTCAAGAGTATATGTAATCTTTAGAATAATTTGTATTACAGACAGCAGGACTTCTCTGCATGTATGGACATCCAAAGCTTAATTTTACTTAGTACATTATCCACAGTCTGCAACTTCTCTCAAGTCTCAGCAATGGTCTGTCATAGAATATTGTAGACATCTCTACCCAAACACTTAAGACAAATCATCTCGGGTGATTTAAAATTAAAAGCTTGTAAAATATGTAACCTCTCCTAATTTTTGCAATTAATAGGGTATGTCTGCAATTAGCCTGACTTACAGAATGCTACACTCTTGTCATTAAAAGATGTTTTGTGAAAGTGCTGCTGTTATTATGGAGGCTCAAGAGACCAATCCCTCCTAGAGGGCAAACAGTGGACTAGGAGAAAACAACAGCCATAAATCACGCTGTCAGGTAGCAGAGAGAACAGAAGTGAAACACAGGCACATGAAGGCCATTCACTGTAAACACACCACAGCAGAATCCTAGTCAGGATTTACTGAACCTGTAATTAATTAAAGTTTCCTTCAAGCTAAATTTTTAATAAACAAGGATTTGTGCTGACAAGGAAGAAATACAACAACACAGTTTTATCAACTCACACTACAACACTTAGTCTCATTTTCCTGCATTGGGTACTTTTTCAAGGTTGCCTTCGCTTTAGATGCAGTTCTCAGAATAATWTTAAATATTTTAAAACATGATACAGATCTAATATTGGATACAAACTCTTGAGGGTGTGGTATTTCATAATTTATGCTATTTTATAATGTATTCTTCAATCCACAGTTCCTGATTTGTTAGATTAAGGCATGTCTAACTTAATTTTATTTTTTCTCTGGAAATACATTTCAGTGAAATATTTCAGGTCATTCACTGTTACACTAAATTAAAAGAAGCCTGCTCAAGAGAAATCCTACTAATGCAAAAAAATTACACAAGAGTTACCTAATTTTGAAATTCTGCACTTTGGCCTTTATCTGATGYTAATGAATAGAGGAATATGTGAGCAGACTGAGTAATTATGAACTTGCATTTCTGTTCAGCACAGTAGCTCAGGCCTTTACAATTCAGGGACAGTGTTTTCTCTCAATCCTGGGTGGTAAGTTGATGGTGTTGCCTTGTCTTCACTGGAGTAGATCAGATTTACAAAGACTGMTTTATTTTTGGTGTGCACCATTTCTTAAGGCTAAAATGTTTATGATTTATTTTAAGGACATACCTCCAAGTAAATGCTTTTTTCCTGTTGGTACCTCACTGTAGCTGTAAGTTGTTYCCGAAGGTACAAAAACAGGACAATTTTTTTGACTGATGCTTACAGAAATAAGGTTTACCTTTTTTTGGATGAAGTGGTCTTCTGAAAAAATATTTAAGAGGACCTGAATTCTGAACTCTTATTTATTATTTATTAAAAATGGTATTTTTCTTAGACAGAAATGTGTATGGTAAGACTGAACTTCAAGAAATAGACGAGTGATAACTACAAAATTCACTAAGCATTCAGATACCTTTGAGGCAAGTGTGAAGTCAGAGAGCATATCTAAGCACTTATACAACCATATATCATTTGTGATTCAAAAGTGCATTCTTCAGAAGGCTTATCACTACCTCATAACCAACCACTAGGCCTAGGGATCCATAAATTCAACATATAAAACCTCTTTATTATTTCCCTGCCCCAACAAAAAAATCTAAATGGCACCACGAAGAGGCTTCAAAAGAACACATTATAATGTTTAATAATGTAAAAGTTGCAATAAAAAGMGCTAAAGCACTTAGTACATATTTAACAAGAAAGCTACTTCTTGGAGCATGGTACTAGTTTTATCTGAGTTTGGTCCTTAACTCAGAAATAGAACCTTTGGCTAAAATACAGGTTCCATATGCAGTCRTGCCACTAACTGTAACCTCTGAAATTTATTTTCTTCACATATAGATTATRTAGTCTACTGTGAGGCTTGAAGGCCTAAAATTTTCCATGTGTAAAGCCATCTTCAAGTAGATGGTTTTGCAGCTGCAAGCACCATGAAGTAACAATTACTTTTTAGGACTGCATTGTGCATCCTGCATTTGACCAGAATAAAGGAATGCAAAGTTATGGATTTACAAATGGTATGTGATGAACATCAGGAGGAATTGTTAACCTCAGTGACACCTGTTCTAAAGATTAAGAAGTTAGAAGTTCAGCCTTGAACTCAAAAAATACAGGCTCCTTCCATATGTGGTATGTTAAACAAGATAACCAAAGTTCATGTTGCCTCTTGCATTCTATGATTTACAAAACATCATGTGCCAACAGAAACTTTGAAACAACAGAACAAGCCCTTCGTTTTTTTTTTTCCAATAATATCAAAGTTTTTCTCCTCAGCTTCTGTTCTATACCATGAATAAAACACTATTTGTGATCTACTACATTAGATTTACTTTGTTTTCTCTCATGCTTAGAGGTCTCAGAGCACTCAATGTTTATGGATCTGATTTGAGTGTAAACYGTAGTAAGAGCTTAAGAGCATAAGACAACACCGCAGAACACATTTAGCCACAAATGCTATACCTTGTTCAAACTGAAAGCTAACTTCACAGGGGAAGACTGTCACTTAAAGCTGGTTGCACCCATTTCTCCAGCTTCAGCACATTTATCATCATAAATGAACTGAACGATCTTCTATAATCACAAATAATAATAATAATAATAATAAAAAAGGAGCAAGATTTACATTTCATCCAATTGCTTTCAACAAGCTCAAAAGTCTTGGAAGTCCCTCCAACTTACTACTGTGTCTTCCTTTCACCATCTAAAATAGCAATCTGCTTTCCTTAGTGGAGAGCTGAAGGCCTTYCTTTAAATTATCAGTCATATTTCAAGGGGTGAAACTGGAAATTTACACTTCCCTCCTTTACTGTCAAAAGTTTCTACCGTTGTTATTTTAGAAAACAAATAATGTAGTCTCTCTTTTGAAGGTCCACCTATGATAAAAACGACACAAATATTATAGCAGTGAGATGTCTCAATGACTGAGCTAACACAGGCTGACAAGATTTGTAGCCAATCTGGTGCTCATAATTCAGGCTGTTATTTTATACTATTATTGCGAAAATCCTATAACTGCTTGCAAAGAAAATCAAAATGAACGGGTAAAAAGGTAAAAAATCAGTTTCACTTACCACATTGTTCAAAGTCCATTTGTAACACTAAAAAAGTGTCACTAACTGAACAGATGTGGGAAGTGCAGACTAGAATCAATTTATGATATAACAATCAGAACAGATGTCTTCCCCACTCTTCACTGTGAAGTGAAATACTTCTGTGGGCAACTCTGAAGAACTGGGAGACTGGTTCTTGCATTAGTGCTTGTGTATCTGAGAAGGTGCACCAGAAAATGCCTATTTGTAAATGCACATAAGTTCACCAATGTTGAAAGATTTACTATTTGCTAAGATTTCAGGATTTCTGACAATGTTATGGTATAAATTACGTACATCCATCATACCTAAAACATCAACTTAAATTTTATCAAATGAAACTTCAGCTGTTGTCTGTTTTCTGCTATGAAATACAAGAGTACTGTCTTGCCTTATGGAACATCTGTCATTGCTTAACCCTTTTTCTCCAAAATTCTCATTCAGTTGTTTTACGATTCATCTTTGTTTCTTAGAAATCACCTGGAGTAAATCTCTTGTCCTCTATTTTATGTGATATATTTTCAGTGTACAAGTGTTACTTGTGCTAATTTATCAGTAGCAAATTTTTATTGCAGGTATAAGGGGAACTAGAACCAGAAAGTTGGGCTTTTTCCTTACTTTAGCTTGCTCTTCTCTGATTAAGGGGCATCTAGGAAAAAAAAGGTGTATGAGGTTAAGACCTTATCAGCAGTGACACTTGTTTAAAGCATACGCTTGCAGCTCTTAGAAGATGAGGCAGTAAGTTCAGTTCTCTAACTCTGCCCAAAAGTATTTATAYTTTTAAGTTACTGAATATGCATTTGAAGGATGCCAATGGGAAGGCGAAATCCTGAAAATYTGACTATTCCTGCAGAAGGAAAAATTTGAGTCAGTCTGTCAAGTTCATTAATTAACAAATAGCCCAAAATAAGCACCCMTGATTTAATTTAGGAAGACATGTGACCACGTTTTTGAGGTCAACAGACTTTCAGGGCTTGAAAACACACCAAGTTAATTGAACAACAGGAAGCTATTAGCACATTAGAGTGTGCTACTCCTTTTTTGCCATGTACTGTAACTGCATCAATTACTTCAGAATACGTTTAATCAAGAGCAATTAAGCACCATATAATCTTAATGTTATTACAAGAAATTCAATAAATATTTAAAGAGAAATTTAAAAATGCTCTGCTGAATCCTGAAAATCCATTTAAGCATCTGAAATATAAGGCTAAGGGAAAACAAAAATCTTAAGCTTTCCTTATTTTGTTTCRGCAAGGTACCAAAGTTTGAAATTTCAGACAAGTCAGGCTTTCCAACTTCAGAAATAGACTAAGAACTTGCATATAAAGAGACTGACAAAGAAAACTGAAAGGCAGGAAGAGCACTGCTTGAAACAATGAAAACCAACCAAGTAACTCTGTCATTAAAGAAAATGAGMCTAAGTGATATCAACTGACAGCAACCAACTGAAGAGAAATCATCCATGAATGCAAAGCACATTAAATAACAATAATCAATAACACAATGATGCACAGAAATGCAAGAAGAGAATTCACAAGTGCTACAAGCATTTATCTGCTGTACAAGCAGTCTAGTCATAAACTCTCAGCATAGACTACAGCAGAAAGAAAGGTCAAGCAAGCAGCTTGTTACTATGTTTAATTYGTTCAGGCAACAAAAGTCTTCATCATAATTTACATGTATTCCTTGTCATCCCCCTTTTAGTCCAATTTACTACCAAATCTACACAAGACAATGAACTTTTTGTTCCTTTAAGACAGTCAGAGAAAGGGCACAAGCTCTTTCCTACACAGAAGCATTAAGCAACAGGGGACTTTTTTTTTTTTTTTTGCTAGTGACAAGAAAAGAAAAAGAAGTCTCAGGAATTACAAAATGGATGTCAATCATTACCTTACTCTTGGTATAAGAACCAGTTTCATGTAGCACAGCGACTCTGAATGGAGGCCACCAAGTGTGGAATTCTTTTACCCATTGATGCAACACAGTAGCTGGACAAACAATCACTGTTGGACCCAACCCCTGGTACCTAAAATAGAGTATTCAAGGAAAAAAACCCTTAATGTGAAAATAATAACCTACATTAAGTGGCTCATTAAAATATACACATATTAAAAGGACACATTTTACAGCTTAAGTGGAATATGAGAGCTATGGAAATTAATTGGCAATTTGTTTTCCTGGAAGTCTGTTTTTTTAAAAGACGAAGGCTAAAAGAATCTACCCACTGAACAGTTAATGGATGCTACTATCAAGATAAACAGAAATGGAAAAGCTCCGAACAATAAGGCATAAGGGAACTTCCTCCTGCAATGTTACAAATCAGGTGYTAGTAACTGCTGTTTGTATAAGCAAAAAGAAATCATTACCAAGCAATTATTTTATTACTTCTATTACACAGAATGTGTAGCTAGAGYCTCACAAGTGGACTTACACACAGGTGTTCTGCTTCATGTTGGTAATACACCATACTCTCATCACCACAGTTAACAGACAAGGCAAGGACTCTAAAGCTTGAGATTACATCATCCATGAAGCTGAGATCTGAGCTTGTCTCAAACTAAGTTTCTTATTTGTAATTTTATTACTGTTTCTGAGAATTAGTAAAGAAGTTTGAAACAAAGTCTTCAGTCTATTAAGTTCCAAGCTGCTCTTGAGGATAAGAAGCAAAAAATCCCTTCCGCACCAGCCAAACAAAAAATATTACTGCCAAAAACAATCATATATGACATATATTAAGTAGTGGTTACTAGCAGTTATTTTTCAAATATATTTGCTCTTTAAAAAAGGAACAAAATGACTTTGCAAACAAAGGCAACAGCTTCAGTTACCACATCTGTGATACGTGTTATCATATCTGTGCCTACGTACTATTCAAGTGGTAAAAAATAAACAATTCAAAAGATCCCCGTATACATTCAAGATCACATGTTGATAGCAATAAAGGACACCAGCAACACCGTGCTTAAAAAAAAAAACCAAAAAAAAACCCCTTAATGCATTCAGAAACTGCTGACATGAGGAGATAATATTCTTTACTAAAAGCTTATACATATRCAGAATCACAACTTGGATGTTGCTTATTATGAACAAATACTATAAYACAACCTTACAGGGTCTAAAAACTAAAAAAYTWAAAAAATCCCAGMAATCCAAAGGGAAGTAAGAACTTGGAGATACAAAAAATAGCTTCAACTATGCTACGAATCCAAATAACCACTGCTACTGCTTTTGCAAATACCTACAGCAAAAAAGCCATCTTTCCCAGAACACACTAGTTTCTCACACCTCATGGGTAGTAACCGAATACCTCTGTAGATTCCCCTGGTCTGTAACACACAAGCTCATGTGCAAGGTTTATCCAGATTTTTTTTCCCTTAGATAATAGAAAGAGTTTGCACCTCCCTGGATCAATTTTCAGAAAATCCACTCTCCCTCCACTCAGCTGTGTGAAAACTCTTCTGTGTCTAGTCTGGCTCAAACCACTTTCCACTAGCCAACATTTTATTATTCTCTTGAGAGCTTTTATTTATTTATATAAAAGAGTCATCTAACTTCTTCCAGYCTGAGCTGTTTCACAAAACTAAACAAATCATGTACTCTTGCTTGCTACACTTAGGAGGCATCCTTCATTCTCTTAATCACTGCAACACTGCAAGATTTGCTCTGCTGCCCTTCCAATTTGTATTTGTTTTCCTTGAACGAAGGTGACATTAAAAACATTTGAAACCAAAGTCTTACTACTACCAAGATAATGATACTGCCCTAATCCTACTCCAAATACATTGTCATAGCCTGTTCTGTCCCTTTGTCACAGCTGCAATGTACTAATAGCTCATGGTCAGTATCATATATGACCAATATATCCAAATCCCTTTCTTCTTCTGTTGTTTCTGGTTTATAAAGYCCAAATTCACAAGTATCCTTTATCTGTTGGTATTTAATTGGATGCAATTAGAATTGTACATAAGATCTATTCCTGCAAGTTACTACAATGAAAAAGGTAGATTTAAAGATTATATTTATAATATAAATATAAATATAAATATTTATAATCTTTAAATACTCAAAAAATTAGCAGAGGAAAACATGTTTCACTATAGCCAAATGTTGCCAAGGACTGGCAAATCATGTTTTCAAGCTGAAAGGATAACCAAACCCCAGTGAAAATACGAGAACGGGGCAGCAAGAGCAATAAGACATTTTCTGGGGCAATGGATTTTTATTTACTTAAGCACCATGGAAATTAATCTCTGCCACTGAAAGTAGAGATGGAGTTGTTTATGTTTATGTCTCAGTGTCTTAAAGAGGACAGATGGGAAATAATCAGCGTCTAAAATTTCTGTYAGTTTCTCATCTGATGTCTCAAACAAATGAAGGCAAGTCTGTAGTGAAAGGTTTTTGTTACACACCAAGGTAACGAGACCCAAGCTAGGCTGGAAGACACTAAGTGCTGACAACACAACTTTGTCCACTCTTAGTGCTGGCTTTGCAGCCAGGCTGTCCAGGAATTCTCCTACYTATCAGACTACACATCCTTCAAGGAGAAAGAAGTTAATCAGTGTTACTGKTTACCAGTATCACTGCCTTCTCAGTAGAGATGGCAAAGATCAAGTTGTTTASAGTGTCTGTCTTACAGCCCACAAGCAAAATCAGAGCAAGCTTCAACAATGTATCAAACCTTGTTTCCTCCCACAGACTTGCCATCATGATGCACTCAATGACATGCACCAGCCAAAACAAGAATGTCAACAAATTATCTTACACGCAGAAAGAACASCAAAGCCTAGATGGGCAAATCAATTTTTGCCTTTTCAGTTTTACTGTAGTTACACACTATTTAACAGTGTCAAGAGATGCCTCTGAAGGATTTCCATCAACTCAGTGGTCTCACAAATGGGGTAGGGAATATAAAATAATTTGTACAGTAGCTTCCTTAACCAGGCAGCCATATTAAAGTAGATCAACTGGCTTGTGTGATGAAGCACTTGTGGAGTTTTTTTAAGACTACASTAGGAGGCAACTGGAAAGAAGACAGGAGTATTTTCTCTTTAAAGCATTCTTTAATAAATTCATGTATAAGCTGAACATAACTTAAACATACCTCTATACAAAGGTAATTATTTTTATTTAGTACAGTAGATTTTGGTTTTTKGGGTTTTTTGTTTACTAGAGATAGTTGCTAAATTTCATGTAGCTATTTACATCACTTCTATTTTCTACAGAAATAGAARCGTGAAGTGTTATTGCATGCATTTGCAAATCTGAGGACACAAAAAAGTATCTTACCAGAAATTTCACCTACGAAGAAGAAATTTCAAACATTGTTCAGTAATAAAAAAACATAAAATATCTTGTAAAGACAGACCAGTCGCATGAGCATACGTTTTGAAAAGCAACAACAATGGAAGACCAAAAGCAGGTGGAAATGCCTCTGTATAAATTACTGGTTTTACTCTTACCACTAATTTTTGGCATGGGTAATTCCCTGCCCATCAGAAACTCTAACTTTCATCACAAATCAGCTTGCTACTTCCTGTAAAACATTTACCTGGTGGCTTGCCAGAACAAATATTTTAATGTAAAATTTAATAAATGGAACTAAAGGTATTACATCTAATTTAAAATTCCATATTGTGTAAACTATTGATATTAATGTAATTGAGTTTGTAAACAATCCATTTGTGGAAGGTAACCTTAGACACTGTATTGACCCAAAATATCTAGTGCGGCTCATCTGCAAAATGAAGCATCAATGCCTGGAATTCATTAAAAGTGTTACATGTTTAATTTTTCCTGCCCTACAGCTCCATTGTCTCGTAAAATTTTTCCTTTGATGTCCCCCACTAAAAGAATTAAAGGAATATTGTAATTGAAATGTCATTAATAATTCACAGGACCCTCCTCCACCAGTAATACATCTGATGAAATATTAATTGAGCTCCACAGACTGACAGTCTGCAGAGAAGCACTTGCCTGTAATTTGAACCACGAGTCCTCATATTGCTGTAGCTCAGACCTGCCAAGAAGGCAATTATCTGAATGGTCTTGCCCAATCCCATCTCATCTCCCAGAATTCCTCCTGCCTGCTGGCAGTGCAATTCCCAAAGCCACCTAACACCTGTCTGCTGGTACCTAAAACAAGGAAAAAGAAGATGGCAAATGTTTGATAATACAGATCATAACAGAAAGTACTCATTAATTAATCATTTGGCAAGGTTCTTATACCAGTTACAGTAACATGCTGGATGTGTGTTTTACATGAGTGCTGTATTTACTAGGTCATACATTTTTGATGCACTCAGACATTACATGTGACTTTTGTTCTTTATGCAACACTAAAACATTTCTAATTAAACTGATAGTCATGGTAATTAGAGGGTATTTTATTTCATATATATTTTAAGTGCTAAAAGCAACTTGGAAAGTTATTCTTATGAAGCATTATCTTTTCAAAAAAGACAACATGCAAGTAAAGGTCTAGTAAATAATATTAGGACTGAAGGAAAGGGTTGGCTTGTAAGGCGTACAGACTTCATACTCCACTACAAAAACATATCACACCTGCCAAACCATCCTTTTTTTTTTTACATGAATTTATTTAATAACATTTAGTATCTTTCAATGAAGAAAATATCTAAGGCAAAGCAATAGAAACTATTATAGTGAATGGGATACAGCAAAACATTATGTGGGAGCATCAGGGCAGTTCCTACACCCAGTCCTTCACTGGAAATCATACAAGCAACAATGCAAACCACATTCCACTTAAAAGAAATGGACTAGAAAGCAAGATGTATGATTGCAAGCTAAAAAGGTGAAGATAGGATGCTGGATGGAGAATCACTTTAGGACACACCWTTTTATAACGGCATGAAATAGTGAGGCCAGTAGGAATAACACACCATATGTGTGGGTTAAATTGAAAACAAATGAAATAAGTGATAAACCGTATCTCTAAACCACATTAAAAAAGAAATCCAAACGTGTTTCAGCACCTCAGTGTCTTGTAATTTACAGGAAGAAAAAGGTTAATTTTCTTGATGGTAGACATTTTTGGAGTGCAGAATGTAGCAAAGAACAAAACACTTATTTTAAAATAGAGGTTCATTTTAGGTGATTTCTTGTGTGCGTTTCAAAATCCTGTTTCTGTCCTTGAACAAATAATATTTAGGACTACTGACAGCTAATGACACTGGTGTCTAGAAAGTACTAYTAAAAATCAATTTATGATGAGTTTGGTATGGATTTAGAGAATGCTAAATGGAGACAAACGAATGGCTTGAGTAGTTAAAAAAAGATGATCAAAGAACACATCTAATGGTTCAGACATCACACTATCTACTTGTGTCTCAAAAGCATTACGTGATGAAGCCCTTAAGAAACCCTTTTATTAGAAATTAATTCACCTTAAAATGCAGCAATCTATAAAACAACTATAAAATGGCTTGCAGTATCAGCTATAATTGGATTAAGATGCTACCATTACTACATTTTATGAAGACAAAATGTTTTCWGACAAACATTACAGAATTGAAGGTAACCCTAATTCCAGTCAGAAGCTGCTCCCTCAGGCTAATGTTCAGCATGTCTCTTCAGAAGACAACCATTCAATAAATTCTTGATATACATTGGTATTATTTCTTTTAGGATTGCATACAAAGTTTCAAAATTAGATGAACTTATAAGCATATTTCTCCCTCTCCTTCCTTYTCCTGAGAAAGTTTCACAGTAGATAATTAAGCTTTTGAAAAATTCTGCTCCACAGTTATCTAAAAATCTAAAAGATGCAGGTRCTTTTTTTTGTATAATCATATAAATATGCAATAATTGTAACTATGCAAAAGTTAAAGGAACACACACCCTTCCATTTTTTGTGGTTATATGGAAAGATAAATTCTTTTCAACCTTACTCTTTTATTCCACCAATTTTTATGTTTTTTCTTTTTTAATTCCAAAAATAATCTGGAAGTAAAATAAAAGTGCTGCTGGTATTCCAAAATAGTTATATTGGACTATATTTCACAAGAGCAATCATGCTGTGATGCATCCCTCACAATTCATCACAGTAGCTACAAGTTCAGCTGCATCGTTGCAGAGGCAAAATTGCGTTTCAGATTTATCACGGAAATCACACACTAAAAAGAAATAATGATGAGGCCTGTTTTCTTTTTTATACAGTCAGCATTCTCTGAGGCTTAGTGCAGACAGAATAAGACAATGTTTGCAGGTCTGCTTAGTTTTGTTCCACAGCAGCATCAATGCTACTCCTGCTCAATGTTCATCAAAGCAGACAAAAGCGCAGGGAAGAAGCACTGTCCACTTTAACAGGCTGACCAAAGAACAAACCTGAGGGTCTCCTATTTCTAGCATGAGSTAACTTCTTTGGAATTTAACTATGCAGGAAGACCACTTAAAATACATGCTATACATGTCCTTGGGTCAATGTACTTCCATGTTTTGTASTAAACTTGCTCAGAACTCAACAGTTTAATGCCTATTGACTATGGGCTTTCCTACATTGGAGATCTCGGCATTTAAGTTACAAGTCAGACAAATCATTCAACTCAATTGATCTTTCTAACCACTTAAGAAGTTTTGCCAACTGACTCATGCTTGCAGGGATACCCTTCATTAGTGAGGCTTCCATCTTCAAGATTAATTTTTAGTGACTACTCTATTTCATTTCCCTTYGGGTTGCTCAGACCACACATCCGTCCTCAAGATGAATACTTGTGCAGTACCTTCACATAAACAACTGGAGACCACATATTGGCTCTTGGTTCCAGCAACCAAGTCATTAATTCAAGCCCATTTCAGAGCTAGTACTTTCCTTTTGAAGACTACAGGACAACAGTAATAATTTCTTTGAGGTCAAGACTAAGTGGTTCTCTTGGAAGGGATACCACACATGCCCATTATAAACCAGGGCTTTCTACTASACAAAGATTTTAAGAGAGTTTGCTTTTGAAAGAGATGTTTTTCCTGCTGTGAAAACACTGGCAACAAAACCGAATTCCAGTCCATTATCCCTGAAATTTAAGGGAGAGATTATGGATGAAATAACTGGTCAGCTGCTAGCTTGTTTGGGCTGTCTTTTGTAAATAGTTTTTTTTGAGATGAACATGAAAGCATCACTGGACACTATGTCTTAAAAACTTGAAACAGAACACAGTTATGCCCAAACCTGTAATTAAGCATGAAATAATTAAGGAATGAGTTGTAGAGTGCTTTCCATCTATCCGATGAATTAAGAATTCACTCTCTATATTTTAAAATCTTACCTGGCAAAATGTTCAATATTACTTTATAAATTATAAGTAGTTACTTTGAATAGACTTTGAGTAGTTACTTAAAGAAAAAATTGTCCCTATTTTTTACTGGCACAAAATTTAACTCTACCCAATCAGAGAAACACCATRTTTGTTTTCTTTTATCACATGCTACCAACACCTCATGCTTCAAAGTGAAGTTATTCTACCACTCCACAATTGCATTARGAGCAAGCATGTATCAATAAAAGAAAGCATTTATAAGAATAGACAAGGAGAGCTTCTTAATTCATAGTGTAGCTAATACACATTTACAATATTCACATCACACAGTTATCATCTGTATTTTCATGTAACTGCATTTTGTGTTTACAATAAGTTAATTGTATTGTAGATTGATCCTGAAAACTTTTTTAAAGGAAGAATTCTACTGAAACAATTGAAGTAAAAGTTGAGGCATCATTCACTGAAATAAAAGCTACAGCAAACGGCCTCTGGAACTCACCATAACTATTACTACTAATATTATTAACAGCATACACCAGCATAATATTAAAATAAAGTACAAAATACATACTTAAAAAGCTTTTTGAAGAGAAATCCTGGTACTTTGAAACCCTCTTCAAATTCAACATCGCTTTCTTCAGAAAGTTCCTCAGCTGCTTGATGTTCTTTGTTCTTCAAACGTTCTCTTTGCCACTTCCTGGAGTAACACAAGGAGTCCACATTCAATTAGAGCATGGAAAAGGTAGTCTATGAAAATGACACAGTTTTTGATCAGGTAAAAAAYCCAACAAAAACACATTTGCTGATGTCTTGATTTAAAATAGGAATCCTTAGGAGGAGAGAATTATGCAGATAAGTATCCGATATACTAAAATGTACATGTTTTACGGCTAAGTTACAATTTTCTACAGACAAAAACATTAGTATAATGGAATCAGCAGTTAATAGCACAAAAAAATCTGGCTGCTTTGAACTCTTGAATCTCCCTCCACCCTGCCAAAACATCAAGAAAGTTTAGGTATTCCAAAGGTATTTTATTGATTTATCCAAACACTTAACTGTCTTCCTGTATAGGAATGAGAGGCAATGTATACTCTTATACAGAAGACTCAGAAACATCATCATCTTCAGGGCGAGATGCTCTAAAYCTGTAAAGCAGTCATTATTAACAGAATGAGTTTTATCAAGTTTTGAAATTACACTGTGATTTGTGGTTTGCAGCCTCATCTTATTTAGACTCCAGGYAGCTTAGAGAATTACCTTCCTGTCCCATCATTCCCCTACTGCTGAAAAAGTACCAAAGGATCTTCAATATTCCAACAAAATTATGAACTTATGTTTCAGTGACCCAAAACCCCAAATCTGCCTCTAAAGGTAAAATGTACTTTAGCTGGACACGTACTATCCAACCAACAGCACTTCACTGACAATTTGGATTTTGCTGGAATTCTCTCATGAAAGTGCCATTTACTGCAGGCACACTGAATGTGGTGTATAAACTGACAAAATCACCACAGAAACTGGCAAGGTAGAGAACAGATTCAAAGCACCCATATGCTACTGTTCTGGATGCAGTGCAAAAGCAGACTTCCACTTAATGATCTCTGCATATCTGGCAAATTTGTTTAAAAACACTTCTGTTAGGAACAGGAAAGCAGGGAAGAATTTCAACACTTCAAATRAAAAACAATCATATACCCTTTCTCATGAAAAAAAGCTAATTACATGAGGTATCAGCAGTACCTTTTGAGAAAACACTTCAAGTCCATCCTTATAGAACTAGTAACAAACTTGGTGTTGTTTCATTAACTGAAAATAAACACCACCTCCAAATACACAAAAATTACAATCGCTGCCAAGAATGAAAGCACTGAAAAACTAAGACAACAAAATGTTGGACAGGTTTAGTGAGCCAGTTTCACTGAAGCATATTTCGATCTCTTAAGTCAAGATGTCTTCAGAAGGAAAAATAATGATGACAAAAAAAAGGGCATGTACTGGGGAAAAATAAGATAAATGAAGTGTTYGGTTTGCTGATTTAAACTGATGAGTTGGTAATATTTATTATCAGATTATTACTTCATTATATGAAATAATGTATCCACCTATGTAGTAAAAAAGAACTTACTAAAAATATGCGTCAGTGTTTTCCTCTTTTACATACCTATCCTAAAACAGGAATAGAAATCTCTTAGACTAACAATCTGTAAATACTTGATTTAGAAAAATTACACTCATGCTCTGGAGTCTAACAGACAGATATGACACATTCTAGAGTCACAGCATAAACATGCATTTATTTTTCCTCAGTACTACGATGTTGTGCTATCAGGCACAGAGGGTCTTTCTCTTCTGAATTCCAGAAAAAGGAATTCAGAGTGACAAATGCTGATATGCATTGCTTCAGACTGTGTCACTACTAGAACTGGGACATGTTAGAACTTGATTATTTCATCTGACTGGGTTATGACCAGACTCAAACCAAGAAAGGAAACTCCTACTTACCACACTAAAATCAAAACAACTACCGATTACAAAGCTTCCAAAGCGATATCCATAGTAAACAATCCACATTAAACCCAAGCAGGGCAATAATTTGTACAAGAGTTTGCTATTAATTTTGTACTCCACCGYGCATCACCACCAGCCAGCACTGGAGCGGCAGCCTCCCCTGGGAAGGAGCAGGTTGCCCTCTAGTGTGCATTGGGAAAAGTGATCCAGAAACAACCCAGAGGAAACTGAGACTAATGCAAAGCTGTCCAGGAATTTAGGGCACTTCACCTCCATATAATTACTACATTTTTTGGAAGAAGTGTGATCGACATTGCAATTTCTTCTAAAATTATCTGAAACCTAGAAAATATATACAKCTAAAATTTGAACTAATAAACTCTGAACTTAATAATCTTCCTAAAAAATTGTTTCCTTTTTACATACTGTATCTCTTTTCTTAATTGAAGTACTACATCTCTTCCAAATGTCTAGAGGTTTTTTACCATCAGCTACCAGTTACAATCAATTACCAGTTTAAAGAAACAGCAGCAACTTCCTATCACAAACAACTTTCAAAGTTTGAAGAAGCTATTCAGTATCTGAAAGATTGTGAACTTAATGTAACACACAGTACTAAGATGTTCCACACTAAAATATTATTTTCTTTAGAAAATTGTAAATATCCAAATGGCTTTTGGGAGCCACGGGAGGACAAACACCATTTCCAAGATCAGATCAGTCTGATCTGGTCTTGCACCTTCCCCTAGAAGTCAAACTTTGGAGGGAGAAATAGTGGTAGCTCATCTCTGACTTACATATACTGTAATGTACTGTCCATTTGCTCAATATATTCCTTACATACATCAATTAAATATGATTAGTATGCCTAAACAATCAGAAAACATAGGTTTTACTATATCACCAAAGTCTCTTCAAAACAGAAGCGTGACCTTTCAGAAATCTGTCTTATGTTGTCCATTGTCACTGACATAAATAGAATTTTATCCCTGAAAGTATGAAAATCATATATCATACAATTAAATTTTTTCTTAATATAAGAATGTATTCAGATACTAAGCTCATTTCCCACTTATTGCAATACCCTAGAAAGAAATTCTGCACCCAAAACAGTAATGAGCATAACTTGACTTTAAAAAAAAAATACAGTCAGGAACCAAGCTGAGTATTTAATATAGTTTGCATTTGTGAAACACAATATGTTTTATATTTTATACGGCTAAGAATCCCTTGCAGATTATTCTAATTTGCTAAATTGAAGCATTCAGTATTACTTTTTTTGATCTAACTTTTTATGGTCTATATATGGGTGGATTTAATTGGTATGTCCTAACAGATGAAATACATGCAGTTAGTAGCACAAGCCCCCATAAGTAAATTAAGACTGATGTAGATAATTACACACTTGAGTTTAGAATGAAAGGTGTACTCAGCGAGTGAGACAAAATACATCTTCATTTGCATCCTGGCTTTGTCATTTTAAAGAGCAGTAAGAATGCTTTAAAAAAGTATCTTTCAGGAAAGGTAGTATTTAATCCTTTTTTAATTTATAACTTTGAAACATCAAGAGATTCAGTAACTCAAATATATCAAAGAAAGCTAGCACATGAAAATTGATATATGAAAACCAATTTAATTTAAAACAGATTTTTTTTAGTATACAAAGCAGTTGATTCAAATGACAGCCAAAACTTCCTGCTATTCAACTGCCTGCATATCACTTGAGAGACATGAAAAGAAGYAGCTTGCCTAGCCTTGCCTCTGTGCACTTGACAGCAAGAGAAGTCAAACAACTGTACTCTACAAACTACACAGAACAGACAAGGAAACACAGATATGGCACTGATCTCCCATTATACAACACGTAATTCTTTCCTTGTAACAGCAGGCAGGTACATACCAACAACASACAACTGGTATGGCAACAGTGTCCATAAGACTGCCCAAGGTTTATTTTGACTCCAAGCTATTACTTTAGACTGACACCTTACTGATGTCAATTATGCAACATATTAACTACATATTTGCAGAAAAGATTACTTTTTTATACTTATGCTTGCTATTTTAATAAATAATTTGAAAAAAATCTTGATAATTTGAAGTTTCCACATCTGGAAAGCTTGAGAATAATACCATAAAAACATATAGCATTTTGCTGTTGAGAAAAGAAACCAACAAAAATGTTTTATTTCCTACACACTTAACAAGCATTCAAAGTTACTATGGTGATGCTAGGTAAAAGAAACTGAAAAACAGGTCCATTTTCACCCTTCCCACAGTTTTCAAAGAAACTGACTCTGCCATGACCTGAGCTGGTTTTGGATGGAGTGGAGTGGATTTTCTTCACAGTGGCTGKTATGGGGCTGTGTTTTGAATTTGTGCTGAGCACAGGGCTGATAATACAGCAATGCTGTTGTCATTGCTGAGCAGGGATTACACAGRGSCAAGGCCTTTTCATGCTGCCATGGTGGGGAGCAGACTGGGGGTGCACAGGATATTGGGGAGACACACAGTCAGGACAGGGGACCCCAACTGACCAAAGGGATATTCCRGATCATATGGCATCATGATCAGTATATAAAGTGGGGGGGAAAGGAGAAAGGACATGGGGATGCTTGGAGTGATGGAGTTTATCATGTGATGGGGCCCTGCTCTCTGGGAGATGGCTGAACACCTGCCTGTTCAGGGGAAGCAGTGAATTCATTCCTTGTTCTGCTTTGCCTGTGTGCACAGCTTTCGCCTTCTCTATTAAACTGCATTTATTTCMGCCCACAAGCTTTCCAACTTTTACTCTTCTACTTCTCTCCTGGTAGGAGAGTGAGTGAGTGGCTGTGTGGGGCTTGGCTGCTGGCTGGGGTTAAACCACGGTACCTTAGCGTTCCACTGGACAGGAGGCAACAGGTTTAAATCCTTCCAGCTCCAGTTTGAACTATTCTAGACAAAGATGGTCACTATTGAGTATGACAAAATAGACCTTTGATAACATCCCTGTTGATGGGGATCAAGTGTCTGAGACATTCCAGCACCATCCTACAGACTGCACCCAGTCTCTGGGTTCAGCTGGTAAAAGCCAGTATGATGGATAGCTGGGAATGTTAATTTTCACTGAATATTTAAATTACCTTAAAAGTGCATGACAGTATCCTTAGTTACCTTACTCTCCATCACCCTGATGCCCCTTGTTACTGTTAACTATTCTAGCAAGTTATGATTCACCTTAAGACATTGACTTTTCAGAATAGAATGTTTTTTCACCTGCATGTCTACAAGGCAACATGGCTCCAGTAACAATAACTAGACTAGAGAAAGGCAAGACCCATGCAAGGGAAAAAAAAAACTGAAATTCCTGATAGCCTAAGATGAACTCTGCATCGCTAAACCTTGCTTTTCCACGTTCCACTGATCACACCTTGCTCTGAGTGACCAGGCCAACTTCTCCAAATAGCCTTTAGAAGGACAAGGGAAGATTCAGCTGCTCTGCTGCCTGAAATTTCCTACAGATAACAGCTCCTGTTGTGACAACAGTCTCTTGTTCAAGAGATGCTCTACAGTCRTGTAGTTAGCTAATTATCATACTTTAACAACATCAGTGTAGTTTCCCCTTGACACAGACCAATCTCTTGAAGTCCCATCTCTGAAAAGTTTTAATGTTAAGGAAACTCATTTTCAATCTCTAAGAGTGTAGGACTGAATTCATTGCCAAGTACAAGACTAGATGTTCAGAAGAATAAAGTAATCCTGAAGGATTTTCCTCTGCCTCTCTCACGGGTAAAATATACCATAATCTCACCCATTCGTTTGCATTSAAAAGTAAAACTGACATGAAACAAGATATAAATGTAAGCAAATGACAGCATTTCTATAGCATTCTTAATATGTTTCTTAATTCACTACATTTTATTTTCTCATGGCATTTCCCATAATGAAGATTACCTGGGGGTGTCAGCATAAAAACATCAATGTGGACAGCTGCAGCTTAACAGCCACAATAACTGTAGCTATGAAATTTTTAAGAGATGTAGTGTTTTGGTAGCAATTACAGTTATTGATATTTCTAAAATTCATTTAGGCTTTTATTGTAACTTCAGTAACCAAAAGAAATGTAGTCTRTGATATGACTTTGCTAAGGATAAATTGTCACAATCTTAACGTTATTAAAAAACGTTTTTGAATGAATTTAAACTGTGAGTCATATTAAAACTTTCAATCAAAATAAATTACTCTTGATGAAAACACTGAATTAAAAATGATTTAATATTGCTCTACTTTAAATGTGAAGAATACAGTTTTATTCAATAAAACAGTAAATATTTTACCAATGAAGAACAATTAATTTTTGTTAATGCATCCAGTAGAAAACATATTTCTTTTTGACCCTTTGGACATTGTTCAGATTAGCCTCTTGCCACAATTTCTATTCAAGGGCAATAAACTATGCTTTAATTYTGAAAACCAGCATCCTGGGATTCCAAACCTATTGCCTTATATCAGCTCCTRATCTGCCTTTCTAACCTCAGATGTGGAAGTGAAGTCAGGCACTTCCAATGTGAGATTTTCTACAACTGAGGGCACCTCTGCTACTAGAATATACCTCTTTCTCCACAGCAACCCAGGCTTCCACCACAGAAGAGATCATGTTCACACCTCTACTTCTTGATTCCTTCTCTGACACACCTTCATTTAAATCCGTTAAGATTTTATATCTCCATAGAGGTGTAAAATTTGAGCCTCCCAAGCATTAATCAAGTTCTTATGCTAGGATTTATCACTACAGCACCACTGACAGTCCTCTTCATTTCTCATTGGAGAAGCTGTTTTCAAGTTCCATGACTTTCTAGAGACWATGTAACTATCTGAAGGACATTCACTAAAGGTAACTCATTAAAACCTGCCATCAACCTGATGAAGTTTGTTATATAAAGCCCAACTCCTATACTAGAAAAGAGACCACATGCCAGTGGTTAGAGAACAATTAAAACAATCATTTTAGTGGTCTTGATCTCTTGACTCCCAGTATGTGCAGAAGTCTCATAACTTCGCTGGCATGTCTAGTTAGCATTTTARCAGCCTAACAAATTGCATGTCATTTCATTGCTCCTTCAAAATGTTTCCAAACAAGATGTAAAAAATAGAAACATCTCTCAGTCTTATTGCTAGGAGCTCAAAAACTGTGCTATCAATAGAAAAAACATCTCAACAACACACTGTAGCTGCAGATATCACCAACACACAGGTTATACAAATTTCATAAATCACAGATTAGCAGAAGGTGATACAGAAATAAGAATCTATAACAACCAGAAAAATTTAACAGCRAAGTTCTGTAATTAAGCTCCATATCTAAATCCTTCTGGAAGGCTATCTATGGTCCTCCTGAGTACCTAATTTTCCTTACTTCAACAGAATCYCTAACAGTCTATTACAGACATTGTCTTTTGCATGTTCAACATACTAATTTGTTAGTATTACCAACAAAAACGTCTAGGACTAACCTTAGTCTCTGTTTATAATAGTCCACATCTCCATCATCTCTCCATCTTCTCACTTTGTGCTTCCCCACTGTATCTTCTTCTTCCTCAGAGCTTGGAATGAAGTCAGTATCATTTTCATCTTCTTTAAAATCCTTCTTCACCAAACGTTTTCTTTTTTTGGATAAATTCTTAAGTTCATAATCAGAATCATTCTCAGCAAGAGAAGACGGCTGTTCTTCTTCCTCTTCTGCTGCTTCTGGATCAAAGAGTTCCTCATCAGGTACATACTCAGACTCCCCRCTCTCATCCTCTTGTTCATGCCTGAACTTCTTGGCCTCAGGATACTTCTTTTCCTTTGGGATCCTGGCCTTTGAATGAATGTGGAGGGCATGCTTCTGAAGCTCTCTCAAGTGTTTCTTTAAACGCTTATCTGTTTTTGAGAGGGCTTTACCACTTTTTTCCTTTGCAGCAGCTGTGGGAGCCTCGCACTGAACGATTTTGGCTTGTGCCTTCTTCTTTGCTCCTTTGCGACGGGATAACTTTCTTCTTTCAGATGACAGCTTAGCTTGGTCTGCTAAGTACTTCTCAAAATCAGATGCTTCAGTTAGTCTTAACTGTCGTGCCTTCCTCTCTGGCTTCTGAGGTATTTTAGTTCCAAATGGAGTCATCTGACCAGTACGAATGAGCTCTGCCCACTCTGTTTCCTGAGCAGGCATAAGCATACTGCCAAGAGATGATGGACCAGGTTCTGCAACAAAAATAAGAATATATGGCATGACTTTAACATCTTCTGTATAACTAAAACACWGGAACAAGGGTGTTACACATACTATCAAAATGCAGATATTCCTGAAACAACACACAGCAGCAAGAACTACCATAAAATTACAGTTCCAAATGATAGAGGAACTCTAGCAGACCACCTATGCTGGCAATTCCACTCATGTCACCATGTTCAGTCCAAGAAACTACTGTGCTCCCATATAAAGCAACACTACCCWTTTCAATTTTATTATTTATCTTTCAGTCCTATTCATAAGCTTGAAATCTGACATTTCAATTACWACACCAGAACAGATGTAAATCGTAAAGAACAGACTGTTCTACCATATGACTCAAAAAAACCCAAAAGAGTCCAAGAAACAATAAAACCAAACCAAAAACCACAGAACCCRTCTTCTTAGACTACAATACTAACATTAGGAAGATGATTTAATGGCCAGATTGGCTGCACAGCATTCTGCCATAAAAGAGAACTTTTTGGTGCACTTACAGTTATTATACACAAACTGTAATTGGTTTTTGAAACCGAAGAGAAAGAAAAGCTCTTGAATTCACAAAGCTGAAGGAGAATTCTGGCCTGAAATCCATAATCAGAGTCCAAAAATTCAAAATAAGTCTATCAGAATTGCCAGCACAGCTTTAAATGTCCCATTTAAAAGCACTAGTATCTATCATACATCTAATGAGTAATGACTGCATCAGGCATGAAACCCCTTCACCTCCATCCCCTCCTRCTGGAACTGCTCCATTTCTTGTTAGGTTCCACTCACTTCTTAGTTACATTTCAACACACTKGGTGCCTGAGTTTTGCTGCATGGACCAATTCAAAGGAAAAGGCTTTAAGATGTTTTTCTACTGAGAAAAGTTAACTGAAGGTTTGACTCCTTCAAGTTTTGTATCAAGAGAGATCATGAACTTTGGGAGATCTAATCTAATTGAGTCACCTGTGCAAGGGAGAAACAGAACAGAATTTTCACCTCTGCAAACAACAATAAAACCCAAAGGTGATGATGCACAAATACCARTGGGATCCAAAGTTGCTCTGCAGAATACTGCAGCTTAGTGACTGTGGCCAACTTAGTTTGCAGACAGCAGGGAGAAAGAGCACCTAGAAAAACACTGAGGGAACATATATCATGCTCTAGAAGAAACCTTATTTTTAATTTAAAAATCACACTGCAGCCTAAAAGAGAGAAGCATTTTCCCCTTCCATTTCTAGTGATACTTCCCAAAAGTAAGAAAAAACAATTTTGTTAATGCTGATTGATAGCATCCAACATATAAAATGTAATTCAATCTTGATGTTAGTCATCTTTATCAAATTAGCTGTGAAAAAATTGTTAGGATTTCCAATTTATTAAGCCCAATACTCTAATGTGCCTCAGTCATCCCTACTCAGCTGAACACAGATTAACATCCATTTTTTAAAACTTCCCACATGAATATGCCAAGATTTGCTAAGTGTGCAGGTGTACAGAGTAAGTGTTCTTAACTCTCTTTTTGAAAGCCAACCAGTGAAATTGATTTCCTTACTGGCAAAAATCTTACAAACTAGCTTCAAACAAAAAAAGCATTACATCAAAGTAGAACACAACTTTCAGCCTTCCCCTATACATACCTTCATCTTCCTCATATTCAAGATCATTTGCTTCATCAGCAGACTCTGTTAATCCAAGTATTCCTTGGAGACGCTTTTGTTTTGCTTTTATCTTCTTTAGCTGTTGCTCCTTCAACAAGAATTAGATAATTTAATTTTTAATCTGGTTAACAAACTTGGTAACCCTTTAAAAAAGACTTAAATCAATATATTTGCAGCATTTTCAACCAAAATCKCATATTCAAATGTTTACAGTATCACACTTGAAACAAAACCAAAAAATGCAAAAAAGTCTCACCATGACACCTGTAGGGCTCCAACCCCAGGAGACACACAATTTTATGTGTTCAATGATCTTACCACATGTGTATAGCAAGATCAGACTGTTTACACACATAAAATTCATGCGCACACTCTGCATTTTTATATACATATCTTAAGGTCATTTTATGAATGTGTTGATTCCAGTGAAAGAAGCCCATCAAAGCAGACTGCCAAGATGGACAGAGAACACCAAGAGATTTGTTCATGATTGCAAGCCTGGGGTTGTGATTACTAAGTCACAAATAACAACTGTAATATTTACTAAGATTTATTTATCACCCCAGAAATTTTGGAATGTTTTGTTACAAAGAAACTGAAATTGTAAATCAGTTTAACATCCCAGTAGGTATTTGCACATGGTTATTTCAGGAGTGGTCACAGCTAATTTAACAACCACGTTTTTCTAGTCCGTTGCCACTGCTCAGTACTGTCCTTATCACTCTCTTAGTTGGCCAAATTATGAGCACRGTGTTGTCCAAGCTGCTGAAATTATCAAGGTTAAAAACCATCAAGTGAATGAGCCAGTGGTAAATGACCTAAGACTGGCCTGTTTGAAGGCAAAGGACAGTAAGTCTCACAGTCAGGTTTATCACTAGACAAAGTATCAGGGTGAATTTCCAGCAGTGAGCTGATCTAGGTGCTACATTCCTGAGCAGCAGAAGTTTCTCTTTTCTCAAATCTCCTTCCTCTTTACAGTTATAGAGGTCTACTGCCTACATCATCCTGATGCCACCTAGATTGTTCTACAGGTTCCTTAACCTGCCACTCCGACAGAAAAAGCCAGAGCAGTTTCTGACAAACCAATGCTTTAAAGAGGCTCACAGAAGAAATGGTGTGTAGTGACAAGATACAAATAATAAAAAGGATTAAGGCAAAGAACATAGGGAATGAAGACCATGAGAGCTGAATCATGCCCTAACAGGGCTTTGCTAATTCCCCAAATACTACTGGGAGGGTTTTAATAAAATTAATGCAAATCAATCTTCTGAGCAGGTCCTGGAACTTCAGTTAAGAATTATATCACAAAAGCCAAACTTAAGACAAAGTACAAGCCAAGTATTGTCAACATGRAATTCCTGTAATCTAATTACCTTGTTATATTTTTGCCGTTTTACAGAATCTAGTTTTCTGCTAATATTTTTGTTGTCAGCAGCTTGAGGTGAAAGTTCCTCAATAATTTTATTTATATGTCTCAGAGATGTTGTACATGATCTGAAAAAACAATAAGATTGCAACGAACTGGTAAATTCTAGGAAGAAAAACAGCACAGTCTCAATTTAGACAATTTAGAAATTCCAGGAGATTTAAGGTAAGATTTAAAAAGGTCTAAAGGTAAGCATATCATATTTAAACAACACTGGAAATACTAAATACTTATAGAAGTCATACATCATAAAATATTTTTAAACCAAATTTTGCTAACAGCAAAATTCCAGAAGAATGTAAACTGAACAACCATTGTAATATTTAGTACTTGAAAGTTACAGGTTGGATGTAACAAGCAATGATTTCATTATTCAAGGTAAACAAAACACAAAACAAAAATCTAAATGGGAAACTCCCTGTTCTAATKTTCTTGAACAGTTTTAATGGTTTCATGCCATTATATAAGGAAATATGTATGTTTCCCTATATACTATGAAATTAAAAGTAGAACCACRTGCTACAACCTACTACCATGTTTTTGCTTTTGAATTCATTTGCAAGGAAGAAGGAACTGCCTGACCATCAGAAGCAACATATCTAGATTTAGTTGATTCATATAGAAGAATATTTAATAAGGATACACAAACTAACATCTCAAAGCACATTGGAAAAGTCAAAGAAAACTCTCCACAACACCTGCAAAGCAGCCATTATTCCCCTCATATGCAAAGAGAAGCACTAAGTAACTCTCTTCAGTGGTCAGGGAGGATATTTTTGGGCTACATTTACTTCCAGCTCTAATCTGGATTCTATCACTGTTATCCTTCCTAGGTGACTTATTCTACCAGCTCCCCAGGAATTAGTGCCATCTTCACTTTTCCATTCTTTTCTAACACTTTTGAAACTTCCCATCCTCTTTCTCACTCTCCAGTTTTGCTGCTTTGCAGTACACTATCCATCTGCACATCTCCTAATTTTGGGTCTTGCTTCCTTGGCCCTGACATCTCTTGACACTATCTTCTTCCACAACACTTCTCGACACTATCTTCTTCCACAATTAACAGGAATTTGGAATTTAAATAGGGTTTAACTTCAAACATTTTTATTCTACTTCTTCTGCTTACATTTGTGTATAAGACAGATTCATGCAGCTTCTACCATGAACTCTGTGCCARCTACTCAGAAAATACTTCTTGCCTGATGTTTCCTCTAGTCAYGTATTCACTGTGCTACAGGATTTTAACCAACTCGGTCATGCTCTACTGATGTCCAAAGTTCTGTTAGTCCCACTGCTGAAAGTCAGCTATACATGTTAATTTTCTCAAAAATCAACTTTCAGATTCTCACATTACATCTTATGCAGACAAGGTTCTGCAAATCTGCATCAACCATTTGCATTCCCTCAAGTAAATCTTGTTTTACCACTTCAAGTGGAAGGTGAAAATAGAAGGGTTAAGAAAAATCATAGSATCCTTAAAGAAAAACAGGAAAACACAAACTAATTGACAGTGGTGTGCACTACTCTTTCAATAACCGCATAATCTAATTGTAATGGTTATGYTCCTCCATTCTTTCTCTCAATACCGTCTTACTCATTATATTCTTCTGCTCTAAAACATCTGAAATTAGATTGCAGTTTTGCAAACTTACTTAATTTCAGATCTCCACACCCAAACTGGAAAATTAATGAAGTGCATGCGTTAAGCATAAGAGAGCTGTGTGAGTTCACACAGGTAATTGAGGCCTACAGCATTCTTAAGCACTAAAAAAACCACCATTTCTGCAATACAGTGAAACATAAACATATTCATCTGCAAAAGTTCAATCAGTAACCCCACAAAGAGACTAGAAACAGAAAGGAAGATCAAAATTTAAAAGACTAGCAGCTCCTATTCCTCAAAGTCTTCTACTAGCAACAGTATCAACGTTACTTAAGCATTTGATTCTTTTAAGGTGTCTTCAAGTACTTCTTAAAAACACTTGTGATAAGGTTGTTTTGGTTGTAGGACATTCAGCAGGTGAAGTCATCTAAGAAGGCATATAAACCCACAAAACATACAGAATTGAGGAAGTCACACTTTCTGACTGTAACTTTGAATAACACAGTATAATGCCATTCTTCACTGCCAGAAAACAGATGCATCTTGGTGAGGTAGGAGACAAAACAGAAAAAGGAGGTGTATTCTACTGTGCTGCCTTGATGCATGACTACATCAGTCAAATAAGAGCAATGAAGCATTGTCTGATGTGAAAAATATTTTCTTCGTTTTTTAAAGGTGAGTGATTCCAGAGTACATTTGGTCTAGTGCGTTCAAAATATCTTTAACTCTTTCAGATTTTAAAAACGTGAACATCCAAAGTCTCATTAGACTGGCATCAGAAAGAACATCAGAAAGAAATAGAAATGAAAAAACACAATTTACCTTAAGTCCTCCAGTACTGACTCATATTCTTTTGATGCATTAGCTATTTTTGCTGCTTTGGTTGCTTCATTAATTGCATTATCCACTTGCTGAAGAACTCCTTGCTCCAACACGTCCTGGTCATAGACATCAACTCCTAAGTCTTTGAGCTCAGCAGCATGTGCACTACATGAGACAGACTGAATCTGCTGCCTGTYGATCTGTAAAAGGGGATGTCCTCTTCTGGGTACCTCCAAAGGAACAGCCATGGAAGTGGAAGCCTGGCTGTCAGAGTTGGGAGTTCCRATACTATTAGCCACACCACTGTCACAAATGCCATTCTGCCGTTCAGTTCCCAATYCCTCATCATTATGCAGGCAATTATTGCTTGAATTAGTGGCAGAGTCTTCTTCTTGGATACTGTCTGGCAGGTGACTCTTGTCTGTTGACATCCTCTGCTCAAAGGTAACAAAGCAGAAGCACACAATCATAAGAACWTTCACACATACAGAGCTCCTCATGACCACAGTGCCCTCCCCCCCCAAAGTAAGCAAACTAATAAGCACATTTATGATACATTCTCAGTGAAAAACCATCTGATAGTCTACTCCTACGTGAATTCTCCCTGCAAAGGCATCTCCACACCAGCTTCCACAATCAAGAGTGGCCAAAACCTCTCMGACACAACTGTGCTTGACCCTCCTGAAAGGTGTTGTTATGAAGACAAACAAGACAAGTGAACTCAGTCTTGTGTGTCAATGGTCATGGTTCAGAAGACTGTGACATAACAAAAACATACACAACATATCCAAACACAAAAAATACAACTTTTGAAACAGGTTAAGACTTGCCATTGAAGGCATCAATTAGAATAGTAGGCTGTAAGCTTTAGTTTGCCAATTCACCTTTATGGTGGAGCATAAAGCACCTTAGTTCTCAGGAAATTAATGCTGGACTGACTTACTAAGGCAAGCCTGGAACTCGYCTGGTTCAGCAACTTCTCCTAGCAGGGCAGGCCATGGGTCTCAGTCCCACCTCACGGTCTTMTCCCAGCCGCTCGGAACACGCCCGTATCGGGCATGGTCCTGCATTCAAGCAACAGGTACCACACCACCCCCCGGTCCGCGCCCTCCGAGGAACCCCGGGCCCCTCAGCGCCGCCTACACCAAGGGTGCTCGGGCAGAAATGGTGCTTCACCCACCTCTGTCTGCGAGCAAGCGCTGGGCTGGGACGGGGCCAGCGGCTGGGACGGGGCCAGCGGCTGGGATGGGCGCTTGCGGGGCTCCCGGCGGGCTGAGGCCGAGGCCGAGCCCGAACCGCGGCCCCGCAGCGCACCGGGAGCGGCACCGGCACCGCCACAGCCACGGCCGGGCCGCGCTGCTCCGGGCACTGCGCCTGCGCGGCACCGCCCCGCGACAACGTCACTTCCGCCCCGGCCTGCGCGGAGGCGTTGTGCGCTCAGGTGCGGCCTGGTGCTCTGCTGGGACGGGACAGAGAACGGAGTCTGCTCCAGGTGTCTGTCTGTCCCATTTCTCTGCCCTTTTACCCCATCTTTATCTCCCCATTTCAGCGTCATGAAACTCCTGCGTCCAGCTCCCCCTCCTTTGAGCTGCAGAACTGAATTCATTTGCCGGCACCCTTGGGCCAACTGTGAAAGCTAGCTGTGTATTCTATAGCAGAATATGTAGCTGTTAATAGTTTCCAAAAATGTTGATGGTTTTATTTCGCACTACAGTTTCTGGTCGTTGACTGAAGATACTCCTTTTTGTCCCATTCCCTTATTCCTTCCTTGTAATGTCTATGACCCTCAGGAAAACATGTTTTGTAATACTGTGCTTTTCTTTAATTTTTCTAACTTGACATGCAGTTTTACCTAGGCAAGTGACATCTATTGTTTCCCTCTGTTCTCAGCTGCACCTATTACCTGGAACGGTCCATTACAAAGGCTCTAAAAGTACAAAATCTGTATTATAAAAAAAAAATCTTTGAAGTTACATGTTCAGTGCAGTAATTTTCACACAGCAGCCACAATCTTCGCCTCCCTTGTATGCAAGCATTAGTGATGACAGTTCTTGTTGGAGCTAGTTGTGACAAGTTTTGATATGAAGATATTATGTTCTATTACTTGCATGAGCAAGATTGGGAAGTTAAACTCTGTGAGTGTCTTCCCTTTCGCTCAGCCTTGTGGGGTTTGTGGGAAGGATCCTGGCAGACCATGTGATGCAGCAGCTCAGAGCTCAGCTGTTGGATCTGGAGGGATGTGAGAAAACTCAGACTCCCAGGGAAGCTCAAGTAGAGTAACAGCTTGGAAAGGAAGCAAGCTTTGTGGTTCTGAATTGGGTAATGAAAAATCATGTTCTCCAAATGACAGTCAGTGATTAAGGGGAAAGGGCAGTGATTTAATTTTTAGTCAATTTTTTTCAGTTTCCTGCTTTAAAATTATCCCTCTAWCTATGCTAAACACATCCCAGTGATGTACCCAGTATAACCAGTAATAACTTACCATGTCTAAGTCCTGCACTCGAGAGCCTGGTTGTGCTTTTGAGGGTGTGACTTGCTGACAGTTGGCCAAACCTGCTTTGTTGCTTTTCAAGTAGGCCTTTCCTCTGCAGGTTTTTGTACATGTTTTGCCAGACTGGAGGCCAAGGAAGGACTTTGTGACAGAACATAYTTATGTATTTTGTTCTGAGGAAATGCTGTATGTGAACTATGACTGATCTGAATGGAGCAACCACACAGAAGGCTTTGGACTGACTGTCTAMGAAAAAAGTAATCCAAACCACTACATTTTCAGAGTTAAGTGGCCATGGGATTTGAACATCTTTGCACTCTCATCACACCGGTGTTTACATGCATTAAGGTGACCTGAGATGGCTGAGCCCCAGGCATGTGACTGCTACTTTTATTTATGAATCAGTCCCAATGGATGCAGTGCTTTGGTAAATATTTAAAGATGTTCCTTTTTCCCCGAAGTGCTTAGGCCTAAGATTTTCATTTATTCCTAGAGATGAAGGCCAGGCAGGACCATTAGACCATTTGTTCTGACCTCCTGTGTGACACACAGTAAAAACACCCAGTAACTTGTACTTCAAGCATGAGTCTTGGAGGTGATGTAGCACAGATGGCTTAGCAGGATATCACATTTTGATTTAAATACACTGAACAGTAGAAAATCCACTACATGACTTGGTAGATTGTTCCAGGGGCTGATCTTTCTTGCTGTCTTCCAAATAGCCTGAAACAAGCTCGCTTTAAAATAACACACCACGTGCTTAAAAGAGGCTGATCTGTTAAATAGGAAGGAAAGACTTCAATTTTAGAATAAGGCTGAAACACAACTTTGTAAAATCTTGTGGCTGAATTTCAAAGAATAAACCTTTCCTTACCTGCTTAGAGTTCTGCRATGGGATGGACACCAGGGGCTTCACCTAAAACTTTCCTAAGCAGTTGTGTGCTTCCCTATGCTATAGCTATTCCTAGAAATGCTGCTTTTGTGGCTGAGCTGATCAGCTGGCTACACTTGTCCTGCYTGAGGCCAGCTTAGAAGCTGAAAATCCCAACGCTATGCTAGAGGGGTCAGTTAATCAGGTATGGAGTGTCCTRGTGCCCAAAGGCAGCACTGTTCTGCTAAAAAACAGATGGCAGTGGCAGATTTTAATGCATATCAGTTTAGCTTCTCTATTTTCCGGTCCTTTCCTGATGAAGTGTCAACTGTGGGTCTGAGCCAACACCCTAGGAGATTTCTGTGCTGCTGGTGAAAATGCTATACACTGAGGCACACTGATACTTTTAAAACAAAATGCCAAAACTGTGAAGTTGTGATGAGAATAGATAATAAATGATTTAAGGGCTGCTTTACTTCTCAGGAGGGCACAGAATTGCCGGCAGCATTGGCAGAAATGGRAATTCCATCCACAGTAATAAAGCATCTGCATCTCTTTGTACCAACGAGTTGAGTGGCAAGTATCTCTCAGAGCCATGCCAGTGTAATAAAGCTAATATATCAACCTAAGAGAGATGCTAAGCTCTTTGAAAATAATTGTGTAGTTGGCAGGCAATAACTGTTACTCTTTATATTGCAGAGAAATAAAATTGTTTTTTTTTCTTCCCTCATTCTCCCTGCTGTGGTGCATTTAAGAAATTAAATGCAGAAATCTACTCCTAATGCACTACTAGGTTGGCAAACTACTGACTACAAATGGGAATAAATTCCAGAAGTGAAGGTTTCTCCCACTGCTTTTCTATGGTTAGATTGCTCACCTTTTGTATTTCCAGCAAATATTGTTTGACAGCAGCTCACATGTAAGGAAGTTCTTGATAATACCACTTTTTTTAGGAAAGCTTCATGTTTGTGGTTAATTGGGCTGTATGTTCCTCCAAAGGAATCAAAAAGTGACTTTCTAGGTGACTCTGTTGCAGCTTTTTAGAGGCCTTTTTCTGAGCTTGCAGCCAGATCATCACTTCAAGTGTGTCTTTCCTACATATGTTTTTATAGCTATATGTGCTACAACATTTTTTAAGGCTCTGGATAAAAAGGAGGAAAAAATTAGACAAGAACTGAGTAARCATATAATAAGATGTTGGCATCAATCTCCTGCAGGCGAAGAGGGAAGTTAAGCCTGTGAATTTATTGTTTTTTCAAACCAGCCTTTCACATTTCACATCCTTCATAGTTATTCTTTGAAAAGCTTAGGACAAGGCTCTGGCTCTTGTATCCCAGAACCAGGATCTTCTACTGCCATCTTACCCAGGCAGCCAGAGGCTGCTGCTTTTCACCTGCTGTCAACCTGGGTAGGTCTCCTTGCAATGATTGCTAGCACCTATGGAGATTCCTGAAGCTCGCTGGGAAAGTCCTGCTCAGGCTGTGTTTGAACTGTTGATGAGCCAGGAAGAAATATTTGAGTATTCCAAATATTCGAGTATTCGAAAATTTTTCATCTCAAAATTTGGGCTGTCGAACCTGGTGGTGGCCACCTGCTGGCTTTAACACTAGAGGGAGGCATCGCCTAAAAGAAATGGCMATTGCTTCCAAAATAGCACAATTTCAAATGATTTATATGTCTTGGAAGGGAACGAAACAAAGCACTGATTTCTTTTTAAAGCCTCTGTTTTTATTGGAATACATTATGGGAGGCCTCATTTGTTGCCAAGAATGCTCTTGGCCGGAGTGAAATCCAACCCTCCTGATGAGGTGGGCAGATTCAGCCTGTACTGCTCTGCTTTGTCTTAGCTGGGCTCTCCTGGGACAATTCTTTGCTCCAGGCCTGGAGGTAGTGCAGCCTCTATAAATAGCCCATTGCTGAATTGTGGGACCAGATTTTGAAGGGTGTGCCAAAGGATAAAGAATTGTGTYGTTTTAGTTCACTTCAGACTGACACACTCAAACCGATTTTGCTATCTGGCCTCAGTTTGTACTCAGGGCAGAGGTCAGGAAGATGAAAAGTCAGTGCTTCACTCTGTAATAATTTCTCCCTAATGTCAAGCCTATAAGCAAAATAATCAGGTTTGACTTAATGGTGATGGCTATGTAGGAATGGCTGTTGTCCCTGAAGATGCTTTCCCTCTCTCTCTGTAATCCATKAACTTGTCCTGTTGCACATGGATCCTGTACCATACAAATGGGAGGAAGTGCACAGCTCCCTCATTCATTTTGGACTTCAGTGTCCAAAAACTTCATTTTTCTGCATTGTGCAAAAAGACCATAGAAGAATGGGAATAGTTACTTGTGGGCTCCACAGCAGTTGGCAGTAACYCAGAGCTGTATAAAGCACATATTGTACTGAGCAGAGAGTTGAGAAGGAAAGCAGGGTAAGACAAAGGGCCCAGGAGTTCTGTGTATCCTCCCCAAATCTTTTGATGAGTCCTGTTCAGTRGAGATCCTTATTTCTTCTCCTAGACTTTTATGTGCCTTGACTCAGGTGGTGAGAACTACTACCCCTGACAGGGAAAGGTGGAGAAAGTTGTCAGAGACAGTCTTTTCCAGTCAGGTGGGAGGGAATGAAACACTGCTGAAGGAGCAAGAGAGGCAGAGCTGGGGTGTGCAGGTGGGGACAGAAACAGATATGAGAAGGAAATGTGTAGATGGGGACCAGAGAGGAAAGGACAGATATGGAGAGTGAGGGAAGGGYTTTTATGGAATCTGGGGACAGGAACTGATTGTTGAGCAAGACACTGCAAAGTTATAGGGTTAGC